GGGGGAAACCCTTTCTCTACTAAAAATACAAAAAAAAAATTAGTTGGGCATGGTGGTACATGCTTGTAATCCCAGTTACTCAGGAGGCTGAAGCAGGAGAATCGCTTGAACCCAGGAGGCGGAAGTTGCAGTGAGCTGAGATCACAGCACTGACTCCAGCCTGGGGGACAGAGTGGGACTCAAAAAAAAAAAGAAAAAAAAAAAGAAAAAAAAAAATCAGCCAGGCATGGTGGCGGGCACCTGTAATCCCAGCTACTCAGGAGGCTGAAGCAGGAAAATCACTTGAACCCGGGAAGTGGTGGTTGCAGTGAGCAGAGGTCATGCCACTGCACTCCAGCCTGGGGGACAGGGTGAGACTCTGTCTCAATAAATAAATTAATTAATTAAATAAAAATAAATAAACAAAAATGAAATTAGCTGGGAACAGTGGTGGGCACCCAGCTACTCAGGAGGTTGAGGCAGGAAAATTGCTCAAATCTGGGAGGCAGAGGTTGCAGGAAGCTGAGATCATGCCCCCGCACTCCAGCCTGGCCAGTGCCTCCAAAAAAAAAAAAAAAGAACAATGAGACTTTTTTTGCACATATGAGATTGTTGACTATGTCATTTCTGTACATGAATTCCCTTCATCATGGTTGTGTAACAGGCACTCCCAAGTGCAAAGGGCAGAGTGCATGACACAGCCACCAATATTGAGAAACCACATCCTGCTGGACAGCCTGAAGCTCTCTACTGAATGCTGCCTTAACCCAAGGTTTTGGAAATGTACATAGTGAGCAGAAAAAAACATGAGCACTTTGTCAGCTCTGCCACATACAGAAAACAACAGAATCACACATTGCTCTGGAGGGGCAGAGCTACTTTTTCTCAGAACTTGGACTTGGGAAAGGCTTGTCTTCTGAGGCCTTGAACAAACTCTGAGCTCTGCCAACAAGAAAGAAATGGGGGTGGGGTTTGGGGGCAACCAATACTTTCTGTTATGCATCCCACTTTCCCCAGCTTTGTAACTATTCTTTTCAAGTCTAACGTCTTGAGTCACATGCCTAGATCCATAGCCCACTCACGACCGCTGCTAATTACCAGGTGAAATTGCTTCTTCCCCAAATCAGCAAATCTTCCCCAAATCTTCTGGAAGATTGGGGACTGCTGGCCTACAGTCTTCTGGGCCCAGGGTTCTTTCCTCTTGGAAATGCCTCATTATTCAAGGCAAGGGCCCAGATCCCCCAAAAGCGTAGTGGATTGGATACGGCATTTGTAACCGGGATGAGATGTTCTCCTATTATTCTCCGTTTGTGGGAGTCTTCACGTTAGTTGGTTGAGGGTAAATTCACACCAGTGCAGAGCATTCCGTTTATATTACCACCATGTCTCTCATCCTACGCCCTCACTTGCTCTGCCCTCGGCGCTGGAGGAGTGCTGGGCAGAGTGCCAAGCCTCACTCCCACCTGGATGATCAGTGGTGAAGTATGGCCTGCTGTCAATTGGCAGAGAAGCTGAGCTGAACTGCCAAGCAACTCCCTGGAGTTTGGCATGGTGGTGCTTGTTCCCGTGGAGCCTTGCAAGTTTCCTGAGGTCACGTTCTTCTAGCTGCTCAGCGCCTCCCCTTCCCCCTTCCTCAGTACTGGCTTTACCTAGTTGGGGCTGGAAATTTCTCAGGTGTGTGTCTGATTTTTGTCTGTGTTTTTCTTAGACTAGATGCTTTGTATTTACCAGCTTTGTTTTCCAGGGCTCCAAGCAGCTGACTTGCATCTAGCTCTCCAGGTTGGAGGCACGGTTAGTGGGGGCAGTGATGGTAAATTGATGGAAAGAATTTGAACAAAGGAATTTGAGGGAAGGAGCGGGAAAAAGAGAAAGATAGAGAACAAGCATATAAATCAATCCTTCTTTGAAATATTATCCAGCCCCATTCATACATACAAGTCAAAGCAGGAACCTAATTCAGTCTTTACTGCAAAAGTACTCCCAGGGGCTAAAAGAACTGATGCAAATTCCAAAGAATACGAGGAACTGTTTGAACACAGAGGATATAGATTTCTCACTGTTCATAATGGTTCTCCAAAATGTCAAGTAAACTCATTATTTTCCTCACTAACTACCTAGGGTTTGGTTGATCAAATTAGCCCTTTATCCTCATTAAAAAGGGTGTATTCTCTAACAGATTGTAGCTGCTTAATGCTGTCTAAAGTACTGCTGTTCAATACGACTTTCTGTGTTGGAAGTATCCTATATCTATGCTGTCTAATACAGTAGCCACATGAGGTTATTGAGTACTGGAAATATGAGCACTGCAAATATGGCTAGGGTAGCTGAGAAACTGAATTTTTAATTTTATTTAAGTTAATTTTTTATTTTTTAATTAAAAAATATTTTTGGAGACAAGGTCTCACTCTGCCACCCAGGATGGGGTGCAGTGGCGCAGTCATGGCTCACTGCAGCCTCCAACCCCAGAGCCTCAAGCGATCCTCCAGCCTTGGCTTCCTAAAGTGTTGGAATTGCAGACGTGAGCTACTCTGCCCAGCTTAACCTAATTTAAATCTAAATAGTCACATGACCAGTAGCTTCTGTATTAGATAGCACAAGTCTGAAGTTTACCTGTGTGCTCTTGTAATATGTGAAGGGGGGTTCATCCCACCGCAGCTTAAAGGACTGTGAATCAGTCAGGGCTTCACCTGGCATAGAAAAGGTGCTCAATAAACCTTTGATGAAATACCTAAAATGCTAACCTTGAAGAAAGTTGGTGGGGGAACCTGGTTTTTATGTAACTGCAGTAGTGAGGGTTGAGGCAGGCAAAATTCCTCTTACAAACTTCCTCTTCCTCCTCATGTGAAATAGGGGTAGCCCCTCCTAATTAAGGGTGGGTCCCCAGGAGACAGTTTCATTCTATGAGATAAGGTGCTAGCCTCGTCACCAGAGAAGGAAAATATACATTTTAAGTGAAGCTGGAGAAAAGGTTGTTGCCAAAATGTAGGATTTCTTGGTATCTGGTGATGAAACATCATTTCCCAAGTTGTAGATGGGATTCATTTAGAAAAAGGAGGCTGGTTCTCATGGTTTGGCTTGAGTAGTTCCCTGCAAACTGTCTTTTCTCTGAGCCCAGAAAGCCGCATCTGCCTTTCATTAGATTGTGAGTTCTCCTACGGGAATATTGCTCAGTGCCGTGTCCTGCCATGCCCCTGTGGCCTGAAGTAATGAATTAAATCATATTTGCTTCCTTCCTTTCTTTCACCAGGGTATCCAGTTAATCAAGTTTGGCTGAGCTTGTCCCCCCAAATACTATCAAACATGTTCACCCCTTTCCTTCCCAGTTTCCACTGCTCTAGTTCAGATCCATAGCAACTTTTGCTTGGATCATTGCTGTCGGCCCCGTTTCCAATCGAGCACTCCTCTAATCAGGGTCATTATGCACGGTTGGGCAGTTTGTGTACTGCACATAGGTGCCTGGGCAAGGAGGTTAGTGGGCTGAAGTGTAGTCTGTATTCCTATACTCTGGTGTGGGCCTCTGTCCATCTGGCGAAAGTAACTTTGCAAACAATTTTATTGGATTTTATTGATTTTATTTTATTTTTTAAAAAGAAATAGAGATGAGGTCTCATTACTTTGCCCAGGCTGGTCTCAAACTCCTAAGTTCAAGTGATCCTCCTGTCTTGGCCTCCAAAAGTGTTAGGATTACAGGCGTGAGCCACTGTGGCTGGCCAAAAGTAACTTTATAATTTGTACATAGGTGCAATCCTGGTGGCACAGGCCTGTATTGTCCAACACACTAGCCACATTTTACTTAATTAAAACGATGTGAAATGTAAAGTTTAGTTTTTCAGTCATGCTAGAAAATTTACAAGTGCTCAACAAGGCCAAATGTGCCTAGTGGCTACTGTACCAAGCAATATAGGTATAGAAAATTTTCACCATCACAGAAAGTTCTATTGCACAGCACTGGACAGACCCTGCTTCTAAACCATTCTACACAATTTGCTAGGTGAATGATCCTTGATGCAAATCTAAACATGGTCTTCTTTTGCTCAAAAGCCTTCAATGATTTTCACTTCCATCAGCAGCAATCAGTTAACAGTTTTTTTTTTCTTTCAAAAATGGTTGTAATGGAAAGTTAATAGATTTTGAATCAATTTTGTGGGTTACAACCAGCATTATAAACAAAAAAATTGCAAAAGAGAGTAGAAGGAAAAGTACTTACAGATCGTTAGTACAATTTTGTGAAATGTTTGTTTTGGTTATACATATATTTCTTTGTCTCTATATCTAGATTTCCACCTCTTCATAACTTGATGTCTGTATGATATTCCGCGGCGATGCAATGAAAAAAATCTTTCTAGCTTCGTGTGGCTGAGCAAAAAAATGGGAAAAATTTGGGCTCATGGGTTTTGAAGTCTGAGCTCCGTAAAGCAGCATGTAAGGTCCCTTGTGATCGGATCCCTCGCTAATTCCTCTCTAACTCTTGCCACCGTCTTGCACTTACATTGCATTAATAAAGAACTGCTGCTGGTTTCGCCTGAGACACATAGCTTTATTTTTCCTTTCTTTTTTTCCATCTCTGTGCTTTTGCTCATTCTGAACCGTTTCCTTGGACTGCCAGTTCTATCTTCTTTTTGCCTGGAGAACTTCTGCTCATCATCTAAGGCCAACTTAGGAAACACAGCAGGAATTCTGCCTAAATGCTTCACAGCGGGCTGGCTGTCCTTCTTCGACCTTTCAGAACATCCCACGAACATCCGTTTACGGGGTTATAATACCGTAATTATTAATTTAGGTGTTCATTTCCGGCATTATACTAAGTTCTTTCAATGCAAGTACTATCTGTTCATATTTGTATCTGAAGCAAGAAGCGCGGTGCCTGGAACAAATTAGGCACTCATTCAATAAATATTTGTTGAAAGAATAAACGCGAGAAGGAAGGAAAAATAAATCAATCAACTGTGCGGATCATGTCAGTGCAACGCAGGCTCCGGTCATCAGAGGGCGCCAGCGCGGCTGGGCTGGTGCGCAGGCGCACTGGGGGGGAGGGGGCCGGGCGCCGCGGCGGCGGCGGCGGAGGCGGCGGTCGTGGCTGCGGCCGGGGGAAGTGAATGGTTTTACCCAGAGGGCCCTGCGCCGCCTTTCTCCGTTGGCACCGGCGCCGCTCCCCGCTCCTCCTCCCCGGCCATGGCGTTCACATTCGCGGCCTTCTGCTACATGCTGGCGCTGCTGCTCACCGCCGCGCTCATCTTCTTCGCCATTTGGCACGTGAGTAGCCGGGGCTAGGGGAAGGAGGGCGAGGCGGCGGCGCAGCCTCTTTTTGCCCCGGGCCTGCGGTTGAGTCGCCACGGTTCCCGGGGTCTGCGTGCCGGGGGTGCGGCCGGGGCGGTGCGGACAGCGCGGCAAGGGGTCTGCGCGCCCTCTGTCCGCGGCCTGGAGGCCGCGGGTGCTGGAGGAGCCGTGGCGCGCGGTCGCCGGGTGGATGCGCCCGTGGTGTCTCGGCGCAGGCCGCGCGCACCGCTACTCCTCCCCGGCTGGGTGGGGCGGTCGCGGTCCAGGCGGGCCCTTGCGGTTCCGCGCTGCGCTCGCACCGACCTCGGCCGACCCGCGGCCCCGCATCCTCAGGGAGGATGCCACTGGCGAGGTGGTACGGGCGTAGTGTAAATGAAGTTTTCAGAATTTTTATTAATACCGACTGCCTTTCTTTTAGGGTTTCCCCAGGACTCTGGCCAAAATGTAACCTACTTAGGGTGAATTTCCAACTCTACTTTCCAGCATTTGTTGTATGTGCTTCAAATAAAATCACTTGCTTTTCTTTTTCCAGATTGTTGTTTCCTGGTGAACTTTGATGCAAGTTGGATTGATTACTTTGGTGATTGCATGTTCGTGTTTCCCCCTCAAATCATACTTTGACCGCTGGAGTTTCAACCCGCAGCCTTCCAAGCCACCCCTATAGTCAGGATTGCTTGATTTAGTAGAGGGAGTTTTCATTTGATTTTGAGATGCTCAGAAACCTTAAGCTTTTCTAGAGCAGTATTTATTTCTGTTACATACATCATCACTATTGCAGGGTGGAAGCGCAGTCTTACTGGTTCCTGTAAGGAAAAAGTAGTAAGTTCCCTGAGACATAGTTCCACAGAGATTTTTCAGAATTTCTGTTGATCGAGCACAAAATTGAAAGCCTTGGGAGCCCTCTGGGAATCAACATTCATTAAAAATTTATCTCATACTTGCTTCTGTTTTCCCCATATTCCGGTACCTTCTGGAATGTTGCTTTTGATTTGAATGAGCCTGTTCACTCTGATGTAGATTTTAAGTTAGGTTTCATCATGTCCATAACAAGGATTTCTATGAAACGTACGGAGGGGCAGAATGATTAAATAGCAGCGTCTTGTGCAAACAGGTCTCTAGAGTGCAAGGGTATCACAAATCCATTTCTTTTTGCTAAGCAGTGTGATTGCAATTATTTTACGGACTGGACTGCTTATTGTAGTCAGGAATGCTTATGTAGGCTATTAACTGTCAGAAATAACTGCTAACTCAGAATGCTTGTCAGTTGGAACCAATAATTTGAAGAGCATCTTCAGCTCTGCTTTGGTGAAAGAACAATACGTAACATAATTTGGGATACAGACTAGCTCAGCCTTAGTAAACCTCTGATGAAAATGTGTAATTCCGTTTCATCTGCAGACGTAGCTTTATGTCCCTCTCTGCTTCATGGGTGTTCCTTTTTTTCTGGGATGAGGGATTCTTAGAGCTGTGAGGTAGCCTTTTTCACATTTTTATGTTTTGAACCAGGTTGTGTTTGGCTTAAGGAATATCTGAACTGCACTTTCAAAAAATGGGCAATTTAATTTCAGCTTTGAAACGAATGCTTGTTGGGGCAAAGTAGATAATTTTAAGTCGTGTTATAGAATTAAAAAAAATTTATACCACAGATTTGTGGAGAGCTTTTAGGCTTAAGGATTTCTTCGTTCAGAGAATTAGTATCCTCTTGAAAACAATTCTAAATAGATAGTTTTGATTTTTCTATTATCCATAAAACCTTATGTTTATTTTCTTAGGTAGTATCCTAGTCCATTTGTGTTGCTATAAAGGAATATGGAAGGCTGAGCAATTTACAAAGAAAAGGGGTTTATTTGCCTCAGGATTCTGTTGGCATTTGGTGAAAGCCACAGGTTGCTTCCACTCATGGGCCAGGAGCAGTGTGTAGAGATCTCACAGTGAGAGGAAGCAAAGGAAAAAGAGTGGGAGGTGCCAGGTGCTGTTTAACAACTAGTTATCTTGGGTACTAATAGCAGGAGAGCTTACTTACTCCCTCTAAGATGACATCAAGTCATTCAGGAGGGATCTGCCCACTAGACCCAAACACCTCCCATTAGATCCCTCCTCCAACATTGGGGATCAGATTTCAACCTGAGATTTGGAGGAGTTAAAAACCGAAGTGTAGCAGGTAGTTGATGTATCTTTCAGAAGATTCATTTTACAGTTTTAAAATTACATTCCCAAAATCTTATTTACATTAATCACTGTATTAGAGAACGTTTTTTATGCTGATGATTATATTTGTCAGTTTAGTCCTAATTCACATCATTGATGCTCTGTGTAGAATAGAGTTGGGAACATAGATTGTTTGAAAAATTGTAAGTTCAGAAGTCATTCTTTAAAGATGTGCATTAAATTGGTAGCTTAAATTGTGTACTTGGCATCTTTAAGGACTTATATGTTTTATTGTTGTTACATTTCTGTGGGAAATTTTGTGGGTGTCTTTGCTCAGCCACATAGCTGCAAAAATATCTGAAAACCGTTAGTTTAGGAATCTGCTCAGAAGAGGTTCTCAAACCCTAGCCTTTAGCACTCAAACAGAAGCCCATTCAACAACATATTTAAAGATTTGTGGCCGAGCACGGTGGCTCATGCTTGTAATCTCAGCACTTTGGGAGGCCAAAGCAGGTGGATTGCCCGAGCTCAGGAGTTTAACAGCCTGGGCAACGTGGTAAAATCCTATCTCTGCAGGAAATACAAAAATTAGCCAGGCATTGTGGCATGCACCTGTAGTCCCAGCTACTCCGGAGGCTGAGGCAGGAGAATCACTTGAGCCGAGGAGGCGGAGGTTGCATTGAGCTGAGATTGTGCCACTGCATTTCAGCCTGGGTGACAATGAGATCCTGTCTCAAAAAAAAAAATCCCTTGAAGTCACCTGAAGAAAATGTCCAATTAAATGTCAGTATTAAAAATGTGTTTTGTATTCTATTAAGTTAGATCTTGTTACAGACAAGTACTTACGATTATGATCCTTATCTTGAACTTGATTACTAAAATGCATTGGGGATATACCGTGGCTGATGTCAGGTAGCTGACTAATAATGTCGATAAGTAATCAGAAATTAGTATTTTCTAATTACATATTTATATTTTTAACATTTGTCTTAAGTGTCATTAGCCAAGGAAAATCCCTCTTGGTGAGTTCTGCACGTTTTTAATCCCTAGTGCTGTTTTTTCACCCCCCCTTCCATGTAATAAATGTTTATTGAGCACTTAATGTGTGCCAAGCACTATTTTATATTTTAGGCCCTGGGACATAATAGTAAATACAACAGTCTTGGTTCTTTCAGATACTACATTTTAATGTTTAATTATTTTCCTTCTATTGCTCTTTGGTTGGAGTTTTTATTAAGGCAGGTTGGTGAATTTTATAAAACTCTAGAAATTAAAAGAAAACTTACCTTTTTTGAAACTAAGAATTTTAATAGGGAAATAAGCAGTCATGTTGAAAGATGGAAATGTGTAACTTTACTGATTACTGATAATATTGGTCAACACCATTTCACAAATAAGGATACTATTCCTAACTCATTAGGGGAAGGGTAGCTTAGGTTGTGTGTCCCTGGGGTGAGCAGTGTTAGCAACTAAAATGACTCCTCCGTCAACTTGCTCCCTTTGTCTTTCTTTGGCACCTGAATTGATGCCACAAAGTGGTGCATAGTCCCTATTTTGACTCGGCACGTACATTCTAGTGACCCTTGAGGTTGAAGTCACATTCTCCCAGAGTGTGGACAAAAGCATCCTTAGAAACCTATGTGTTTGGGCACAAATGGGAACAAATTGAAGAGTTTGAGTCCATCTCTAGTGTCCCACTGAACACTGTGCCAAGGGAGGAGGAGCATGCACAAAGAAATAAAAATGGTCCTTCTCCCTGAGAGTGTAGAGGGGCAGACAGACCTGTATTTAAATACCACACTCCAGTATGAGAAGAGCCATATCGATGGCATTCTAGAGTCCTGTGCTATGTGGAGATGCAGACAAGGATGCAATTCTTCTGCCCAAAGGAGTTAGGAAAACCTACAGAAAGCAGTTGGCGTAGGAAGGCTTTTTTTTTTTTTTTTTTTTTTTTTTTTTTTTTTTTTAAGGGTAAAGAGGAATTTGGATAAACAGTTGAAATGATTTTTCTACTTGGAAGATTTTATCAAGCAGAAATAAGTTAAAATAACTTGAGCAGAGGCATTGAAGATGTTGGAAATTGAAAGTATTTATTCCAGTGATACCAGATCATTTTAGTGATACTGAGATAGGAGTGTTTTTATTTCTTTAAGTCGGATTCTGGCTCTTCTTTTTGTCATATATGAGTTTGCTATGAATTGGTACTTGTGATGTTGGTGTACTTTTGTTCTTGTTTTATTAACTTTAATAATTATTTGAAGATAGGGCAGGTTTGCTTCTCCTTTTTATTAAAGTGAGTGGTCCTAACTGTTTTAATTTTGTTTTAGATTATAGCATTTGATGAGCTGAAGACTGATTACAAGAATCCTATAGACCAGTGTAATACCCTGAATCCCGTAAGTTATAATATAGGATTTATCTTTAGATTTAAAAAGTATATTTGTTTTTAACTTGATGTAATTTGAAAATGGCCAATATTCTCAGTAGCATGATGTATTTGAAGTAGCATGATACTTTTTGAAGTGGGTAGAGTTTAAAAAATCTTCTTTTTCCTGTCGTGCTTGACTATTCTGACTATTATTAATCTGCTGGTGATCTTGTCAGCTGTCATACTAACATTCTTCCAATCTGCTTTTTACATTGTCGGCCAAAGACAGTTGAAAAGGTCAAAAAGATTAAAAGAGTCAAAATTGCGTTAAAGGTGTGTACTGCTTTTTAGTTTAATGTTTTAACGCTCTATTCATTTCATGGGGAGGGTTAGGCATTTGTATTTGTAATGTTTTGTTCAGTGTGCTCGTTCATATGCCTGTTGAGGTTTATGATTTCACGAAATGTCATATTTTATGCAAATATATGCTTGCTGGCCCAGTCAAGTAGGGAAAGCTGTTAAATGCGTATGCATTTTTTTTATGTTATAGCCATAGGCACTTCTCTATGAAATTATTTGGTGTAGTACTTGAAAGTTGGTTAACATAAAATGACCAGTGGATGATGAGACTATTCTCGAGTTGTGACTTATTGTGAGGTAGTATGTGAGTGAAATCATTAGTATGGACTTATCTGCCATATCTAGTTTTATCTTTGGTGTGTATATTCTGGAATACATAAGTCATGCTTTCAGCTGATGTTTATTCAGAGCCGGTTAGGTGGATAGTTCTGTTCTCGGTGCTCTGGGATTTTGCAGTAATGCCATTCTTTGGACTTAGGATCCCATAATTTTGTAGATAAGAATTTGTTTACAAATGTCTATGTAGTTATTTCTAGTGTGTATCTGTTTTATATTTCTAAAACAGGCCTGAACTACACTAAGTTCTGAGCCATCATGAATTTAGTGATAATGTGGCTCCATTGTGCTTAGGGGTTTTGAAAAAACATAGTGTATGTATTTTTAAGTTTTGAGGTGGAGGTCTTGCTATATTGCCTAGGCTCGTATCAAACTCCTGGGTCAAATGATCCTCCTGCATCAACCTGCTGGGTGGCTGGGATTACAGGTGTACACCAGGGTACCCAGCTTGTTTTTTATATTTTTGACTACATTTAGGAAGATTCTCCTTTATCCCATGTATTTGATTTTGCCTGATTGGTCGGGAACTGAAACGTTGTTTATAAGAAAGCAGTGGGTATGTCTTCAAGAAATAAACTACAGTAATTCAGCTTTAAAAACTACTTAATGAAGGGGAGAGTTTCTGTAGATTTTAGTTGTCTAGCATACTAGTGTACTAGCACTAGTGTGCTAGAGGGATTTTATTTGGAAAAGCATCTACAAAGTTAGTTTGCTACTTTATTATTGTTTCCCAGATAAACATGGATGGTGGAAGAGATTTCTAGTTGGAACTCTTAGAGTAAGAGTTGATGTAGGTTCAGTTAAAAGTATTAACTTATTAGTTGTTTCTTTGCTCTTATGAAACAAGACATGAGATGAATTTGCCTTCTGTTGGAAAGGAGTGTTAATTGTAAAACATCTTAACCTAAGTAGTTGAAGTTGTTACCAAAAAATGAAGAAACTGAAATTTCCCCTTTTGATAGCTGTTTATTAATAGTATTCTATGCTGTTTGTATTTTCATCACTTCAAATAACCAAATGATAATGAAGGTAAAAATATCTGAAATCAGATGAGGATTTTCCTGGGTGCTAGGCTCTGTGCTAAGCACTTTGCCTAAATTTTTTCGTTTAATTCTCATGAGAATCCTGAGGTAGGTATATTTTATCTTATGAATAGGAGAGTAAACTAAAGCTTTGCCTGGTTAAAGCACTTTGCCGAAGGTCATACAGCTAAGATAGAGTCAGAATTTGAACTCAAGACAGCTTAATTTTTGAAGCTCAAGCTCTCGTATTTCCCTAATGTATGGCAAATTTAAGAGGGACTGGTTTCATTTTAACATGGAATGTGTGATTTCTGGCTTTCCTTAATGGAAGGATATTCTCACTGAGAAAAGACATGTGCTTGGACATCCTAATGCTGCAGTAGGTTGAAGGACGTTTTTATAGCAGCACAGGTTGCGTTTGGATAGGGTGCCGATAATTGGCTGAAGAGCAGTGCATCTGACAGTTTTCCCTATTTAAATTTGTTTTGACAGTTCTGCCAAAGTATGGGGGAAGACAAATAACACTATTTTTTAAATTGTGATCTTTAACAAGAGAATATTATGTTTTGCATGTTTAAATACTATCATTTCAGTCATATTTGCATGAGGTATTTTTTTCTGGATACTAGTTTCTATTTGAACTTTGGTTCCTAAGTGCAATAATGTTTGTGTCACTTAAAGTTTCATCATTAAAGAATGCTTGGAGAGGGTTGGTTTTTAAAGAGAGATTCGTAGTAAATGTTTCTGGACTCCTTTTGAGGAGAAGGGAGGGAATGACATGACAGTTGTTTCATATTAGAACTGGTAGAGTTGTAGATTATCTTTATTAACACTTTTGTTAAAGTATATTAAGAGCGGGGTGGGGGGTTATGCTTTCAAAATTATTCTTTCCATATTTCAGTCTGTAAGTGTAGAATGAAACTTTGTTAGGTTATCAGTTGGCTTTATAGGGCCGAAATAGGCTTGTTATATTTTAAAGACACTTCTGTAATTTAAGTTACTGTTATAAAAGCAACTCTAGTGGAACTCTTAAAACGTGTGTTTTTCTTGGTTGGTTCTGTTTATAGTCATTGAGTTTCAGAGTCCTATGACCATTTTCTTGTTTAGAGAACTTTGATCTTAAATAGATGCCAGCTTAAATGTTAGTTACAAGTTTGTATACATGTGCACAGTTTATCTTTTGTTATTACATTGCTTAAGTTGTAGAAAATATTTGATTAGTGGTACAGATCAATTGTTTACCTAGATTTCATTTAAAATACTATTCATTAAAAAGTCCCCTCTACAGCTTTAAATTGGAAAGAGTAGTTTGGGAGTATGAGAAAATGGGCTTCAGTAGGTAGTATGATTATATTTTATCTACAGCCATAGTTTCCCCTCAGGAGTGATCTGATGATAATAATTACTCATATGATTTCCATTTGGTATGAAGTAAACATTTGAGAAACTGGCTTTGTAGCTGTGACTTAATAGGAAACTCTTTGGCTGAAACTTGCAATGAGAGGTTTTGGTATTTTTATTTAACAGAGTCATCAGGCTGAAATCTGTAGGATGAGAAAGATAAATTAAAATAAAGCATTGACTCCTGTTCATTTTATTAAAAACATGTTACATGAATTAATTTTTCTTCACTTAATATTACCTGCTACCTACTTTGTTTTTGGGTTCTGAGTTTCTACTGGTCTTCTGTTGTGTCTGTAGCATTTTGTTGGCAGGCAGGCTTAAAGAAACGGAAAGGCCATCTAAGAATGAGAACTTGGGAACCTGGAAAATCCTAATTTCATGGTTAAGAACTCGGTCTTTTCCCTCCTACATTGCAGAAAGCAAATCTTTTACATTCGTGCACATCAGTGTTCTTCCCCCACTGTGCTGAGATTATTGGCTGATTGGCTTTCCATAAAAAATGACTTCTGTGGGAATGTGATGTGGTTTGCTAAATATTGTGTATGAAGCATTTCTGGTTTCTTAAAAACACTAATGTGTAAAATTCTAAAGGGGAGTTTTGTTTCTGTGAAATTTTTAATATGTTGCATGTGATCAGATAACTCATTTTTGTGCTTCTATCATTGTTAAATGGTGAAAAGAAAAAGTATTCTAGTTGGCTGGCAAATTGTTTAACAATCTGGTTAGTAACTTTGTGTAATTTGATCTATTACTCTTAAGAATTTGAGCTTTAAATTTTAAGTCATAATACCTTTACTGTGTTAGTGCAAGCCATATGCTCTGGTCAGTTTGCTTGTAATCCTACTTTTGGTAAAAAATTAAACATGGAAATAAAACTCAGTAGCATCTTTTATTTTGGAGTCCAAGAAAATAGTGATTTTTCATTATGGAAGCTTGGTTGCCACCTGCTTTCCAGATTAGCGGTTGACTCAATGACAACGCATTTTGATAACTGGCTTGTGTTTTCCTTCCAGCTTGTACTCCCAGAGTACCTCATCCATGCCTTCTTCTGTGTCATGTTTCTTTGTGCAGCAGAGTGGCTTACACTGGGTCTCAATATGCCCCTCTTGGCATATCATATTTGGAGGTAATATTTAGATATACTTTTAATATTTTTTTAAATTAAAACTTAAATATACTGTGGTTGATATGGTTATCTTACATGCTAGTCACCTACATAAAAATTGAAGATTAAATTGGGCACTGTGGCTCTCGCCTGTGATCCCAGCACTTTGGGAGGCCGAGGCGGGCAGATCACGAGGTCAGAAGATCGAGATCATCCTGGCCAACATGGTGAAACCCTGTCTCTACTAAAAATACAAAAATTAGATGGGTATGGTAGTGCATGCCTGTATTCTCAGCTACTCGAGAGGCTGAGGCAGGAGAATCACTTGAACTAGGGAGTTGGAGGTTGCCGTGAGCCAAGATCGCACCACTGCACTCCATTCTGGTGACAGAGCGAGACTCTGTCTCAAAAAAAAAAAAAAAAGAAAAAGAAAAAAAATTGAAGATTAGCTGACATTTATTTTTTAAATAATCAAGTAGATGAACAAAAACTGTTTAATAGCTCTTACAGAACTTTATTTATTTGTTTTTTTGGGACGGAGTTTCGCCCTGTCACCCAAGCTGAAGTAGTGGCGTGTTCTTGGCTCACTGCAACCTCGCCTCCTGGGTTCAAGCGATTCTCCTCCCTCGGGTGCTGAGTGGCTGGGATTACAGATGTGCGCCACCCCACCTGGCTAATTCTTGTATTTTTCATAGAGACGGGGTTTCACTGTGTTGGTCAGGCTGGTCTCAGGCTCCTGACCTCATGATCCGCCTGTCTTGGCCTCCCAAAATGCTGGGATTACAGGTGTGAGTCACTGCACCCAGCCAAGCTTACTTTATTTTATTTTATTTTATTTTTTTTGAGACGGTGTTTCGCTGTTGTTACCCAGGCTGGAGTGCAATGGCACAATCTCGGCTCACCGCAACCTCTGCCTCCTAGGTTCAAGCAATTCTCCTGCCTCAGCCTCCCAAGTAGCTGGGACTACAGGCGTGCACCACTCATGCCCGGCTAATTTTTGTATTTTTAGTAGAGGCGGGGTTTCACCTTGCCGACCAAGATGGTCTCGATCTTTTGACCTCGTGATCCACCCGCCTCGGCCTCCCAGAGTGCTGGGATTATAGGCGTGAGCCACCGCGCCCGGCCGCTTACTTTATTTTTAAAGGATTTTTTAAAAAAAGTGAGGTGTAACTTAAGGTGTTGTGCACAAGTCTGAAGTATATAGCTCAGTGAATTTCTACGCATATATACGCACCTGTTAAACCACCACCCAGATCAAGATACACAACTGTTGTAGCCTCTAGAGCATTCACTTGTGCCCCATCCAGTGAGTTACCCTCCACACTTCCCAAGGCCACTGACCTCTATCAACTTAGATTAGCTTTGCTTGTCCTTGAACTTCAGATAAGTCAAAATGTACGATGTGTGTCTAATTTATTTGTGTTGATAACTAAATAAATTTGGTTACTTGTAAAAGATAATCACATTTCATAACTTCCATAGTTAAATCTGCCGTATATAGAGTTAGAAGTTTTTGTTTTAAATAGGCATGTCAAAACCTTCTTGCCCTTGATTTTAGAAGATACATACTGAATAAATATTTACGAATAAAGTGGTATCATGTCTACAATGGCCTCTGAAATGATTCAGAAAAAAATGTACTTGGCTGGGTGCAGTAGCTCATGCCTGTAATCCCAGCACTTTGGGAGGCTGAGGTGGGTGGATCATGAGGTCAGGAGTTCAAGACTAGTCTGGCCAAGATGGTGAAACCCTGTCTCTACTAAAGATATAAAAATTAGCTGGGCGTGGTGGCGGGTGCCTGTAATCCTAGCCACTCAGGAGGCTGAGGCAGAGAATTGCTTGAATCCTGGAAGCAGAGGTTGCGGTGAGCCGAGATCGCGCCACTGCACTCCAGCTTGGGTGACAGAGCGAGACTCCATTTCAAAAAAAAAAAAAAAAAGTACCGAGGGCCAGGTGCAATGGGTCATGCCTGTAATCCCAGCACTTTGAGCGGCTGAGGCAGGTGAATCACTTGAGCCCAGTAGTTGGAGAACAGACAGGGCAACATGGCAAAACTCCCCTGTCTACCAAAAATACAGAAAAATTAGCCAGGCATGGTGGCATGTGCCTGTAGTCCCCGCTAGTTGGGAGGCTGAGGCAGAAGGATTGCTTGAGCCCAGGAGCCTGAGGTTGTGGTGAGCTGAGACTGTGCCACTATATTCCAGCCTGGGTGACAGGATAAGACCCTGTCTCAAAAAAAAAAAAAAAAAGTACTCAGAATGAGAAACAGAAGGTTAAAGCAAATGTAGTAAAAATGGATATTTGGAATATCTGGGTGAAAGGTTCTTACATCTTTTCTGTGTCTAAAATTATGTCAAGATAAGTAAAAACAAAACATCTATTTTTACAGTTCTTCCTGTTTTTCTTGGATTTCTCAAAAGGCAGAGACTAGATGAAACCTGTTTGGCTGTCTCATTCTGCTCATTTAGGGGCTCTACTTTTAACATTAAGATGATAAAAGGAAAGCATTTTGCCCATAAGTAAAATAATGCTTCCTTGTATGGACCACTTCTAGTGATAGATGTTTCAGAAGAAGGACCCTCTGTCTCATCTGAATGTTTGCTGCCCTTTCTGAATGCCTAATAGACTGTGTTTATTCCAGGTATATGAGTAGACCAGTGATGAGTGGACCAGGACTCTATGATCCTACAACCATCATGAATGCAGATATTCTAGCATATTGTCAGAAGGAAGGATGGTGTAAATTAGCTTTTTATCTTCTAGCATTTTTTTACTACCTATACGGGTAAGTTTAAAAGGTAAAATGAAATATGATTTCACTTTGCTTTTTTAAAAGTTTGCAGGCATTATGGTTTGAACACCTTAAAATCTACTCAGAGAATAACTTAGTGTCTTAAGTGTGCATGGTGCACACCAGCAAATTCACACACATTGAATGTGGCCCACACTGGTGCTTGTCAAGGCAGTAAGCCAGCTTGCCATCAGAGGCAGAAGGTTTGGTCAGGGATGCTGCTTCCTAAGTTTTCAGACACGTTGACTCTGTAAAGGATGGTTCTCATTCTGCATGGAAGAGTGATGGCATTGAAGGATAGGGCTGTGTGAGTTGTAGAATTTTCTGCTTGTCTTCAGTATCTCTCCAGAGATTGTTTCTTTTTGTCCTTATCATTCTTCGTAAGTGGTGTGCTCTGCCCTTTATTTTCTGATTTGCTTAATGTGAGTCAGATGAATGAAAGTAATAGCTCTACCTTACAGGGTGGTGCATTTTCTGATTTTTTTCCTTTTTGTTCCTTTTCTTTTTTGAGATGGAGTCTCACTCTGTCGCCCGGGCCAGAGTTCAGGGGCGCGATCTTAGCTCACTGCAACCTCTGCCCCCCGGGTTCAAGTGATTCTCCTGCCTCAGCCTCCTGAGTAGCTGGGACTACAGGCATGTACCACCACGCCTGGCTAATATTTGTATGTTTAGTAGAGATAGGGTTTTACCATGTTGGCCAGGCTGATCTTGATCTCCCGACCTCAGGTGATCTGTCTGCCCTAGCCTCCCAAAGTACTGGGATTACAGGCATGAGCCACTGCGCCTGTCCTGATTTTTTTTTCCTTTCATACTCTGATGGACTCATCGTCGTTTCTCTAGGTTGGGTTTTCTCAACTTCGGCACTGTTGACAATTCTGGACTGTGTGGGAATTTCCTTGGGAAGCTGTCCTGTATATCATAGGATGTTTGGCAGCGTCCCTGGCCTTTACCCACTGATGCCATTAGTACCCTTCTGCCCTCCTCATGACAATTAAAAATGTCTCTCGACATTGCTAGATGTCCTGAGAGGCAAGATTGCCCTGGTTGAGAATCACTGCCTATAGGTGTGTTGTAGGTGCAGTGAAATGACTGCTTATTAAAACTAGAAAAGGACGCTGTTAAGTGTGGAATTACAGATTTCTTTAAGCTATATGAATATACTTTTACCCATTATTTACATATTCTAGAAAATACCTTCTCATTTTTATTGATACATACTCAACTACAGAGGGCTTTCCTCCCTGATTTCAAAATATTTCAAAAAAACCTGTAAACTTTAAAAAAACAGCAGCTTCCATTCCCTCTCTTTTTCATGACTTGAAAACTTGCTAGCCTAGGCTTTTATTCATATTCATATTTCTCTTTATACATAAGTTTCCATCATAGAAAAGGATGAATGGTTAGACGGAAATTTAGGAAAAAGCTACTTTTATGCTTTTAGAGGCTATTACTGTGAAAATGAGTATCCTTTAGAGCAGGCGTCCCCAAACTTTTTACACAGGGGGCCAGTTCACTGTCCCTCAGACCGTTGGAGGGCCGCCACATACTGTGCTCCTCTCACTGACCACCAATGAAAGAGGTGCCCCTTCCTGAAGTGCGGCGGGGGGCCCCGGATAAATGGCCTCAGGGGGCCGCAGTTTGGGGTCGCCTGCTTTAGAGCATATGCAGATATTACTCATCTATGAAACAAAGAAATGCTCTGAAAAGTGAAATTCCATGTGTCATTTTAATTTCCTGTTAATTTTCATTTTGTAAGTCCATAGTAAATGTCTGGAACAGGGCTGGCATATTAATAGGCATGTCAAATGTATTTGTTGAATGAAAGAAATGAAATGAATGATTGAATAAATGATAAAATTGGAGATGTGCAGTTGTGGGAAGATGTTCACTAGGATATGGTAGCACCAAGACATTTGTTCTGTTTTAAAGTTGTCTATCAAGTTTGTTCAACTCCTTGCTTTGTATTTCTGTTTAGAGATTCATCCTTTTTGAACCATGCCCCAGTACCTTTCCCATATCATATCATTCTGTGTAGAATGGCCCTTGGCAGTTCTTAAGCCTAAATCAAATGGTTACTGCTTTTTATTTTGCTGTTCCCTGCCCCCTTCCTTTTTTAACCGCTTCCTAAAAGTTAAGCTCTAAGCTCTTGCTTAGAGTCTATGTCTAATGGGAAAAATCCTGGATTGATCATTCCCTTCTATATAATGGGGTTACATGTGGCACCCACCTTCTAGGACTGCATGGAGGATTAAGCAAGGTAATGTGGATAAAAGACCTAACAGGACCTGTTGTGAAGTGAGCCCTGCAGAGATGCTCACTCCTATTATTAGACGCGACTCCAGAGCAGTGTGGTGTTTGGATAGCTTCTCTAAGCTCTGATCCCCCATTAAGCTTTCGGCTGTGCTGTTCTACTTGCTAAAATTGGAAAGGAAGTAGGGGACAACTACAGCACATGCACTGAGCCAAGTCCTGTGTTAGGCAAAAGTCCATAAATGCAAATGAAAATCACTGTGAACTTGTCATTAGTCTTTTCATTTTCTGTGATACTAGTTCGCTATAGAAAGCATATTTTCTCATGCTTTGAGTTTCTTTTATAATTAGGAATATTAAAATTAACAGCTTTTTCCTTCTTTTCAGCATGATCTATGTTTTGGTGAGCTCTTAGAACAACACACAGAAGAATTGGTCCAGTTAAGTGCATGCAAAAAGCCACCACATGAAGGGATTCTATCCAGCAAGATCCTGTTTCCAAGAGTAGCCTGTGGAATCTGATCAGTTACTTTAAAAATGACTCCTTATTTTTTAAATGTTTCCACATTTTTTGCTTGTGGAAAGACTGTTTTCATATGTTATACTTGGATAAAGAATTTAAATGGAATTACATATAAATTAATATAAAATGATTACCTCTGGTATTGACAGGTTTGAACTTGCACTTCTTAAGGAACAGCCATAATCCTCAGAATGATGCGTTAATTACTGACTGTCCTAGTACATTGGAAGTTTTTGTTTATAGGAACTCGTAGGGCTCATTTTGGTTTCATTGAAACAGTATCTAATTGTAAATTAGTTGTAGATACCAGGTGCTTCTGATGAACTGAAAATGTATATCTGACTAGTGGGAAAATTCTTGGGTTTTCTCATCTGTCATGTAGATGATTATATACGGATACATTTACAAAAATAAAAAGCGGGGTTTTTCCCTTTGACTTGATACTATCCCTGTATATTGCATGAATGAGAGATTTCCCATATTTCCATCACAGTAATAAATATACTTGCTTTAATTCTTAAGCATAAGTAAACATGATATAAAATATATATGCTGAATTACTTGTGAAGAATGCATTTAAAGCTATTTTAAATGTGTTTTTATTTGTAAGACATTACTTATTAAGAAATTGGTTATTATGCTTACTGTTCTAATCTGGTGGTAAAGGTATTCTTAAGAATTTGCAGGTACTTTAGATTTTCAAAACTGAATGAGAGAGAAAATTGTATAACCATCCTGCTGTTCCTTTAGTGCAATACAATAAAACTCTGAAATTAAGACTCACTTTCAGTGCATTGTTTGAGATTACAAATAGTATTTCTTAAACTTGCTTAATTCATAATAAGCTGTCATTTTTTAAAAAAGTGGAGACAATTTTTAAATGCCGAGCCCATTAACGTCTTTTGTCATTTGACAAGATTCATAAATGTGGATGGCATAGCGTCATCATTTTTCTTACCAATTAAGAAAAATTACGGTGGCACTTAAAATATTTTACTTTTATTATTCCTTTTTGGAACAGTCGGTTTTAAGGTAAAATGGCTTGTAAATTTGAGTTTTTGCTGCTGCTTGTAAGGCAGGGAAATTATGGCTTGCATGTTTTCTTAAGCATAAATAAATCTTGTGCTTTATTTGGGATGAGGAACTTAAGGCAGCTGAAAATAGTGTAAGTGGTTCAGAAGTTTCTTGAGAGGAGGCGAAAGAAAGAGAACCAGTATATAGAAATTTCACATAATGATCAAGGAAGTTTATGGATGTGTTTGTGGAAATCTTACTCTAATAACTTGTTGGATTAGATGCTGTTTTATTCTCAACTAGTGAAAAAAATGCCTTATTTCAGTACTTTCCTGTGGTTGGGAAAGAGAGAGAGTAGCTGTTAACTTCTTGTTAATGGGGATGAGTATGTTGAGGAAGAGATGTAGAACCAGAAGAGTGAGGAGACTCGAACCGTTCCATAATAAGGAAATCTTTAAAGACTTGTGTTTTACACTCTGGCGAACTCCTAGAGGGATCTGGCTCCTCATCAGTTCATGCAAAAAAATTATTTATTGAGCAATTGCTGGGCTCTGAAGATTCATGCTTTGAGCACAAGCAGTCATTCAGTTTCCAGTCAACCTAATTACGTCAGCATCCATTTATTTTTCTTTCTTGTTCACAAGGACTTTTAATCATGAGAGACCTGGCCAAATCTTCTATAATCCCTGTTACTCAAGTAACAGCTCCAGGAAACCCTGAGGCTGTTACTTGAGTATTCCTGTCAAAATATTTTCATGAACCTGCCTCTCTTAACAAACACTACTTTCCTTCATAAGTGTTAACAAATATCCTTTTAATAATCTATTCCAGAATAGTCTCCAGGAGTAAGTTTGCTGGTTGGAATTTGTGGAAGCCACTTTGTCAAGTTTCCCAAATTAGGTATGTAGTCCTCAGCTGATTGCTTGAAGATGATTGACAGTGAAGTTCACCCATCTCTGTGGTAGGCTGTTAGGCACGTAAGTGATTAGAAGACTGAGTACCTGCTCTCCTAATATCTACCCACTTGTACCATGTCAGTGTTTTATGAATTAGATCGCTTACCAAGAGAAAGCAGAAACAAAATACTTGAATCCGACAATATTGGACAGGCTCTTTTTATTGCTCTAGATTTATTTTCCACATTAATCTCTTCGGGGTGGCCCTAGCCTATTATTCCTGCAGGTTCAGCTGAGGCATAGTTAGCCAGCTTGGGTTTATAATCCAGTTTGTGTTAAACATTCCCTGTGCATCAACAGCTGTTCATTTAGGTACTCCTTTTTTTTTTTTTTTTTTTATTTTTCCTCTTACAGTTACTTTTGGTATTATGTGCTTATCTTTAAAAGCTTTCCAAAAAATTAGCCAGACATGGTGGTAGGTCCTTATAGTCCCAGCTATTTGGGAGGCTGAGGCAGGAGAATCGCTTGAACCCGGGAGCCAGAGGTTCCAGTGAGCTGAGATTGCACCACTGCACTCCATCCTGGGTGATAGAGCGAGACCCTGTCTCCAAAGAAAAAAAAAAAAAAAAAAAAAAAAAAAAGCTTTCTATCTCTCGGAAACTGTTGTTTTCCCCATTTATGTCTATTTTATTGTATCTAGTGAAACACTGTGGATACATCTATACCAACAACTTTTTGTTGCTATGGATACTACAAATTCTCCTGAATTAAAACTCTAATATAATAAATGAACTCTGTTCAGCATTTACTGAGTAATACTACTATATCATGGCAATATGGCCCTTTAATGCTAAGGAGGTATATGGTAGAAACTATTTGAACACTCATCTAAATGTTATTAATGATACTTGGCAGTTTTCTCGATGCTTAATGATATTCCTCACTTCCCATTCCAGGGGAGGGGAGCGTTTGGTCCCAGGCTGTGGACAAACTGCTAATTTGTTTGAAATGTGAATTATTTTTCATGGGAAAGGGAAGTGATAGGAAATGACCAAGACCATCTACTTTTTACTTGTATATGGATTGAATATTAATAGTAGTTTCCAAGCCTCATTGATTGTACCATGAATCGACAAGACTTGCCAGTCAAGTTCATGTACCCAGATAATGGTCCTTGACATGGAAACAAAGTATACAGCAGTTTACAGCATATGTCTCTCTTCAAGCCAGTTCAGTGTTTTCACCTTGATGATCACTCCTGCTAGCAGTTCTTATAAATTTCTTCTCTTCTCCCCAAATCATTGTATTTTGAAAATATGTCAAATATTTACATAGAAAGGAAATAAAGTTGTGCTTTGAAACCAGCAAAGTACTTTCCTTTGTGCAACACCTCTCTTTTCCTTCAGTGTTTATGAATGGAGAGTTCATGGAATATTATTGCCATGGTGCAAATAATGACTTCTGTTTGTCACTTGTACCTTGTGGGGGTGAGTTTACACTTTAGGTGTGGTTATATCCTAGCAGTATATCAAGCCCACTCAAATAATGACCTATATTTAAAAGAATATGTCTAGTTTACTTACTTATGTCATTTAACATCCGTAAGTGTGCATCTCCCAATCAGTTGTATGATTGTAAATCAGAAATTTTGATGGCAAAAGTATTCTAAAACATTCTGTAGGTCAAAGAAAAATATTGATACTTCGTCTAGCATTGCTCATAAAAGTACTCATGTTCATCATTTTTGGAAACTATTAATCATGCTAGCCTTAAAATCATGTTACGCTCCTTTGCTCAAACCAGTCATTGATCTGCAGTATGACCAGCAGCTAGTAAGCCTGTGGTACCACCAGTATAGCTTAGAGGATGGTTCTGAATTAATGCCTAAGAATGATGTGAAAAGTAAAACAGTGGTTCTGTTGCTAAATATGTCAACTAGCTGACTTTTAACAACTTACTTTGAACTTCAGAGTTCTAAAGCTAAATGTCTAAAAAAAGTAACTGCAGCTTGTTCTGCTGATTTTGAAAATAGTATTAACCATGTAAGATACTTGGGTTGGAGTGAGGGTCTTATCCTGCATTAATTTTGTTAATGCACATTGTAGAAGATGTAGAGAACATCCTGACATTCATAAGAACTGCATCTCATAATTTTATTGTGTAGTGCTTTTTCTAAATATTTACATTTCTTTGGTTACCATGTTCATATATTCTGGAGAAGTAAAATTTCTTGAGTGATTACTAGGCAGACCCTAAAACTACTAAGAGAAACATTAAATGTAGTTAGCTCATGGTTTATTAAAATCTAAGCTAAGTGCTGTACCCACTGTCCACAGAAAATGCCCTTAAGTAGCCCTACCTTACTTCTTAGAGCTTATTTTGCTTTTATATTTAATAAAAACTGTCTTAAATGTTTCCTTGTGTAGTTTATGCATAATGGTTGAGTCTGTGTTAATTCAATTTCAAATGCCACTAGTTTGTGTATGACCTGGACTCTAGATTCTCTCTTTGTTCCCTTCCCTCATTGTTTTGTGGATATCACACAGGTTAGGTAGGTAAACTTCTTCTCCCTGGAATGTTGGAATGATTTTTTTTTTTTTTTGAGATGGAGTTTCGCTCTTCCTACCCAGTCTGGAGTGCAATGGCGCGATCTCGGCTCACCACAACCTCCGCCTCCTGGGTTCAGGCAATTCTCCTGCCTCAGCCTCCTGAGTAGCTGGGATTACAGGCACGTGCCACCACGCCCAGCTAATTTTTTTGTATATTTTAGTAGAGATGGGGTTTCACCGTGTTGACCAGGATGGTCTCGATCTCCCGACCTCGCGATCCACCCGCCTCAGCCTCCCAAAGTGCTGGGATTACAGGCTTGAGCCACCGCGCCCGGCTTGGAATGATTTTTTAACTTAACTTTTAACTTAACTGGACAATTATATTTTAGTAGTGACATCTCATGTTTCTTTGTTATGGAATAATTGATGTTTTCCCTTAGCATTAAAGTAGTTTAGTCAAGCATTTAAAAAATTAAAAAATTTTTTTTTTGAGACGGTCTCACTGTCGTCCAGGCTGGAGTGCAGTGGTGGTATCATCGTCCACTGAAGCCTTTGCCTCCTTAGGCTCAGGCGATCCTCCCACCTCAGCCTTCCAAGTAGCTGGGACCACAGACGCAAACCAACACACCCGGGTTAATTTTTGCATTTTTAGTAGAAGCAGGGTTTTGTTACATTGCCCAGGCTGGTCTCGAACTCCTTGAAGTCAAGCAATTTACCTGCCTCAGCCTCCCATAATGCTGGGATTACAGGTTTGAGCCACTGCACCTGGCCTACTCAAGCATTTTCAATGTAGAGGCTTAAATAGCACTTGCTGTGAAAATTGAGAGATGCATATACTTTGAAAATTCAGTTGATTATTAAAGTATTTGATTAATCCATGCCACTATTTTCTCTCCATTTTCCTAAGTATTCAGGAATAAGCTATGTATTTAAGTTGAGAGAAGGATAATATGTATGCTTCTCAACTTACAATGGAGTCGTCTCCGGGTAAACCCATTTTAAGTTGAAAATGTAAGTCACAAATGCATTTAATGCACCTAACCTACCAAGCATCATAGCTTAGCCAACCTTAGACGTACTCATAACATTTATATCACAGTAATCTAACATAAAGCCTATTTTGTAATAAAGTGTTGAATATCTCAAGAAACATTGAATACTATATTGAAAGTGAAAAACAGAATGGTCGTATGAATACTTGGAACTACAGTTTCTATCAAATACATACTTCGTCCATACCATGGTAAAGCTGAAGAATCCTAAGTTGAACCATTGTAGGTTGGGGGCTATCTGTAAAAGATTTGCTAATGTAAATTTTAATGACTGTCTAAAGTTTAATAGAAATTGTGATTTTAAAGTTGTATATGGTTATAATACCAAAATCACAAAGAAGGCCAATCTATTATTTGTGTGTACTTTAAAAAAATGCCTTTCTTGCTATAACGTTTGGCATTTATTATATGAGAAAAGAAATCCCTAGGTTACTTGTGGGATATGTGATCCTCCTACCTTCCTTAATATTCTCATAAAATGTTAAGTTCTAGAAGCAGTGTATGTAGAAAAGTACAGTCAGCCCTCTGTATCTGTGGGTTCCAAATCCACTGACTCAACTGCAGATTAAAAATATTTGAAAAATAAAAAATACAAATAAAATCGATACAGTGTAATAACTACACTTCATTTACATTGCATTAGATATTATAAGTAGAGATGATTTAAAGTATACAAATACTACACCATTTTATATCAGAGACATGAGCATCCATGGATTTTGCTGTCGGGGTGGGGTAGGGGCTCCTGTAATGAATCCTGAGGATACCGAGGGATGACGGTATTAACATTGATCTTATATTACAGTCCATACTAGTGCTCTGAAGTTCCCGAACAGTGCTGGTAATTGTTTTGCAGTATTTTGTGTTGAAATTCAAGCAGTTCGTCAGCAGCATGAAGAGTACTGTGAGACAAAGTAAGACTTTTAGTCATTATATGATTTATTTTATTTTATTTTTTTTAGAGAAAGAAAAAAAGAATAAGAAGAAAAATAATAAGAGGAAGAAAGAGAAAGAGGAAGAGGGAGAGAGAATGGGGGTATTGCTTTATTGCCCGGGCTAGAATGCAGTCTAAATATGGGTATGCCTATAATTGTCCTTAATAATGGAGACATGAAAGAAAATGAGGGAAGAGAATAACAAATAAGGAGCCAACCAAGATTTTGTTTAAACTTCTAAGTTGATATGATGTGGTACTGATAAGAGTGTATATTTTGTGTATTTAAAGTGGAGAGTTCTATAAATGTTAATTACATTTACTTGTTCCAGATCTGAGTTCAAGTCCTGGATATCCTTGTTAAGTTTCTGTCTCATTGATCTGTCTAATATTAATGTTGAAGTCTCCCACTACTATTGTGTGGGAGTCTAAGTCTCTTTATTAGTCTTGTATGTCTGGGTATTCCTGTATTGGGTGCGTATATATTTAGGATCTTTAGCTCTTCTTGTTGCATTGATCCTTTTATCATTATATAATGTCCTTCTTTGCTTCTTTTGATCTTTGTTGCTTTAATGACTGTTTTATCAGAGGCAAAAATTGTAACTTCTGCTTTTTATTTATTTATTTTAGCTCTCTGGTTGGTTGGTAAATCTTTCTCCATCCCTTGTTTTGAGTCTTTGTGTATCCTTGAATATGAGATGGGTCTGGATGCAGCATACTGATGGGTTTTAGTTTTTTATCCAAATTGCCTGTCTGTCTTTGGATTGGGGGATTTAGTCAATTTAAATTTAGAATTAATAATGATATATGTGAGTTTAATACTGCCGTTTAATTTTAGCTGGCTATTTTGCCCATTAGTTGATGTGAATTCTTCATTATATTGATGCTCTTTACTTTTTGGTATTTTTTAGAAAGGCTGATACTGTTTGTTCCTTTCTATGTGTAGTGGTTCTTTCAGAAGCTCTTGTAAAGCAGGCCTGGTGGTGATGAAATCTCTTGAGTGCTTGCTTGTTCACAAAAAACTTTATTTTTCCTTCACTTATGAAGCTTAGTTTGGCTGGATGTGAAATTCTTGGTTGAAAGTTCTTTAAGGATGTTGAATATTGGTCCCCACTCTCTTCTGGCTTATAGGGTTTCTGCTGAGAGATCTGCTGTAAGTCTGATAGGCTTCCCTTTGTGAGTAACCTGACCTTTCTCTCTGGCTGCCCTTAGTATTTTCTCCTTCATTTCAACCCTGGTGAATCTTGACGATTATATGCCTTGGAGTTGCTCTTCTTGAGGAATATCTTTGTGGTGTTCTTTATATTACCTGGAGTTGAATATTATCCTGCCTTACTAGGTTAGGAAAATTTTCCTGAATAATATCCTGAAGCGTATTTTCCAGCTTGGATTCATTCTCTTCGTCACATTCAGGTACACCTATCAAGCGTAGATGAGGTCTTTTCACATAGTCCCATATTTCTTGGAGACTTTGCTCGTTCCTTTTTATCCTTTTTTCTCTAAATTTGTCTTCTTGTTTTATTTCATTGAGTTGGTCTTCGACCTCTGATATCCTTTCTTCTGCTTGATCAATTCGGCTGTTAAAACTTGTGCATACTTCACGTAGTTGTATTGTTTTTCAGCTCCATCAGTTCACTTATATTCCTCTCTAAATTGTGTATTCTTGTTAACATTTCGTCAAACCTTTTTTCAAAGTTCTTAGTTTCTTTGCATTGGGTTAGAACAAGTTCTTTTAATTCACAGAAGTTTCTTATTATCCACATTTTGAAGCCTGCTTCTGTAATTGGAACACACTTGTTCTCCATCAAGCCTTGTTTTGTTGCTGATGAGAAACTGTGATCTCCTGCTGAGGGAGAGGCGTTCTGATCTTGGGTATTCTCAGCCTTTTTTGGCTGTTTTCTTCCCTTCGTTGTAGATTTATCCATCTGTGGTCTTTATAATTACTGTCTTTGTAATTGGGTTTCTGAGTGGACGTCCAACTTACTGATTCTCAGCGCCGAAATCTGAGCCACCCACTGCGCGGACTAAATCAGCAGCGATAAGATTGATGGTGCTTTTCTGACTCTGCACCAAGAACCCACGCTCTGAGGCGCCGGCAAAACCATGGGAATCTCTTGGTGCGTGAGCAACAAGAATTCACGTGGAGGTGTGGCGTCCTCTCGTTCCTTGCGCTTTCCCTGGGAGCTACAATCCCGAGCTGCTCGTGATCAGCCATCTTGGATCTCTCTCCCTTTTTTTTTTTTTTTTTTTTTTTAAGACCAGTCTCTGTTGCCCAGGCTGGAGTGCAGTGGTGTGATCTCTGCTCACTGCGACCTCTGCCTTTGCCTCCTGGGTTCAAGCGATTTTCCTGCTTCAGCTTCCCAAGTATCTGGGATTACAGGTGTGCACTACCATGCTCAACTAATTTTTGTATATTTAGTAGAGATGGGGTTTCATCATGTTGGCCAGGCTGGTCTCAAACTCCTGACCTCAAGCGATTCTCTGACCTTGGTCTCCCAGAATGCTGGGATTACAGGTGTGAGCCACCACACCCGGCCAGTCATTAAATAATTATTTAAAAATGAAATTTTGATGTGGCAAAACTGTCTTTTGAAGTGCCTATGAGTCTGCAACCTGGTGGTCATAGCCAAATGCCCATTGGTTCACACTTGTAATTACCAGTAGCCAAAAGTGCCATGGGACTACTGTAAGCCCTACTGAAACCACTGATTGATTGACTGTTAAAACAAGTGTGTCTGTTTGACACATTGTGTGATCCTTGTCTACAGCCCAAATGACTGTTTTGGGTAACTCAAAGTTGAATTTAAAGATGAAAAAAATTAGGTTTGATAGCATAGGGGAAAGTGAAGGAGTAAGAGAGTTGGAAATTGTTAATCTGTAGCTAAGTACTTTATGAAATAAATGTGAAAGGATTAAGCTCATTCCGTGTAGTTCTAGGGTGGAAAAAAAAAGCGGAGCAGCTGTCTGAACCAGTGAATTCCTCATCTCTGAAAATGTTCCAGCAGATAGTGGATACACACCCTTGGGGCTGATCCAGCACTGGGAGGGGTGATTAGAAGACACAGGATCCTTTTCAGTTCTGCAGATCTATGAAGTAAAAAGCGGAAGCAGTTTTGGGAGGAATAGATGGGGAGGGGGACATTATTTAAAAGTAAGTTTGGGCACTCATACCAATTGTCATACTTACTCCTTTGTCATATGCTACCCAGTAGTTACAAACAGTAAAAGGAAGTACAAGTGCAGTACTAAATATTAAAAAGATGTAGTCAAATATTTTTCCATATGCTTGTTTTCAGCATTACCTCCAGGTAAAATATCCCAGAGCAACCAGTTCAAAAAGGCAAATTTCATACCAATTTTCCTATCGTTCTGCTATAAGAAATGAAAGAGACACAATGAGTTTTTGTCAATAAAAGCTTTAGGAATGTCTGCACATGTACATTTACATTCAAGTTGATGACACTAGCAGTTTCATTTCAATACAAATTATGCTAGAGAACTGACATTTCAGACATGGTCATATATGTGCTATTTGGAAATTCTTCATCTTGATACCGATCTTGATCGTGAATCTCTTGATGATAGATATGCAGCTAATTTGTCCCGAAACTCATGAAGATAATTGTATTGCTGAAAAAAGTAAAGATACATTGGAATACACTGTAGAAAACTAGTTATCAGTGTGGGCACAACACTAGCAGGTATCAGGAATAAAAAAAATACTTGCTAAGCACAATTCTACATCTTTTTGGGTAAGGAAGCATTTGCAGCATGGGGGAGTTTTATCTTTTAGTAAAGTCATATAGTAGTGTGAAAAACTGTTGCTCTAAAAGTCTCGAAAAATCAGAAGGTGAAATAAAATACAGATGGATGTGTTGTAAGTCTAAAATCCTTTCTCTCTTTACTTACAGGACCAAATAAAATTTAAAAAGCACATAATGGCATTATATTTGCTGATGGTTTTCCCCCCTGCTAAGTAAGAAGGACAGAGCACTTTCTGTAGCAAGTAACTGGTATATTTAAGAGAATCCATTACTTCATTTATAGAAGCCCTAGTCATCTGCTTTTTGTGATGACATAATCCACTAGGAATACTTTTCATAGACAGTATTTTTTTTTAAAACAAACTGTATCACTAATCTCAGCAGATAAGTAAAATAAAAGCCTTGAATAATTTATCTGGAGTTTTAATCGCTTCCCAGAAGATAGTCTTACTCTGTCAGTCATTTCATTTCATACTTTTATTAAGAAGTGGAAACTGCATTGGTAACATTAGCAAGCCTGTTTGCCACAGAATGCTGACGTGATAAACTGATAGTCTGTAGTAATGTGGGCTTAATTATCTGCAATATTAAAGATATGAAACATGCATATTCATATTTACATCTGACCATGGCCATGCATTTTGTTTTCAAGAGAAGAGAGATGAACATTTTGGATTTGAAGCTTTATTTATTTATTGAAACAGGTTCTTGCTCTGTTGCCCAGGCTGGAGTGCAGTGGTATGATCTTGACTCATTGCAACCTCTGCCTTTCGGGTTCACGTGATTCTTGTGCCTCAGCCTCCCAAGTAGCTGGGACTACTACAGGCGCATGCAACTACCCCTGGCTAATTTTTTAATTTGTAGCAGGGATGAGGTTTCGCTATGTTGGCCAGGGTTGTCTTGAACTCCTGCCCTTCAGCGATCCACCCAGCTCAGCCTTCCAAAGTGCTGGGATACAGGCATGATCCACCGTGCCTGGCCGCATCATTTGATTTTAACTCTAGGGGAGTTCTCTGTTTCAGACCTGTACAGTGGAGTGGATCCTGCATGGATTGTCTTGTGAATGATCTTATTTAAGCCCCAAGAATCAGGTTGCTTGGTGAATTTATCAGTAATTATAGTAATTCACTGTTAATAACACTGGATTAGACCTCTAACCCTGGGAAGATGGGCTCTCAATTCTAGGGAGCTGCCTGATAGCCAGGATTCTTCAGTGCCCACTCCTCTGATAAGTGGACTAATGCTGAGAGGGCATTCTTCCAAAAGGAAGGTGCATTAGCTTTACAGACCTACAAAATAAAGTGGAATCTGCAAAATCTTTTCAGTAACATGATTAATGCTGTATCCTTGGCATTGCTAGTGGAGTGTTTTGAAGTGTTAGGGGAACGTACACGTGGAAGATGTCCCCAGTTATCCAAGCAAAGGATAATTAGCATTGCTTTCCTTTATTTGTATTATAGTCATTCATCTATCTTTAGTAAATGTTTTGGTGACATAATAGGATCTTCCTTAGATTTTTTTTTTTTTTTTTTTTTTTTTTAGCCAAGAATCTACTCAAGACCTATCAAGTTTATATTAATAATAACTGTCTCATTGTTCTAGGTGAGAGGATCCATTCCCAAAACTGACTGGTGCAAAAACTGAGCAGTAAGTAGATCCTGGAAAAGTAAACCAGGAAGTTCAGTGTATTCATTATCTTGTTTGAAATCCTGCGTGCCATTTTAGACTACCTGGATTATATTTACATTTAAATTTTTAAAAACTAAAAGCATAAGCAAGTGGTATTCGCATAACAGAGTGCTTTGGATTTTCATTTCACTGCCCTTTTGGTTACATATGAATCCATATTTGTAACAGCTACCCCAACCACAACCAAGCAAGCACTGCCCACCTCCTCACCTTGATGGTCTGTATCGCCCCAGATCCTCTTAGGTCGCGCAGGCTGTCTATGGCTTGCTCCGGTGATACTGTGTCAGACAGGTACAGTAGGAGACAAGCGGCCACTAATGGAACATGACAGAAAAATAATGTCATTAAATAATTATTGACAGGGTAGAGCATTTTCTATTTAATAAGACTTCTGTTGACACAGAGACTGGTGTAATTTTTCCAAATGAATTAAAAGCCTGAGACTTTTAATGTGTGTTTTTGACAGTTAAATTATGATCTTAAATGACCGTATGGTTGAATGAAAGTTTAACACTGGCTTCATTCTTTCATCCATTTTAAGTGTTCATCCATTCAGTGATTTTTAGTATATTCACAGATACGTGCAACCATCACCACAGTCAGTTTTAAAGTATTTCCTCACCTCAGAAAAAAGTGTACCCTTTTACTATCATCCTCTGCTCCCATCAGCCCCTACCCTGGGCAACCACTATCTACTTGTCTCTGTAGGTCTGCCTATTGTGAGCAATCACATCAATGGAAACATACAATATATTTGTGTGTGTGTCTGATTTCTCTTAGCATAATGTGTTCAGGTTCATACATACTGTAGCATATGTCTGTATTTAATTCCTTTTTATGATCAAATGATATTCCATTGTGTGGATATGCCACATTGTGTATATCCATTTGCCAACTGATGGACATTTAGGCTCTTTCCGTTGTTTGGCTATTATGATTAATGCTGCTATAAACATTTGTATACAAGTTTTTGGGTATATACTTTGGAGTGAAATTGCTGGGTTATATGTTAATGTTTACCTGTTTGAGGAACTACTGCTAGACTATTTTCCAAAGCAGCTGCACCATTTTACATTCCCACCAACAGTGTATGAGGGTTCGAATTTCTCTACATCATTGCCAATACTTGTTATTTTTCATTTTTTAAAATAATACCCTTCCTAATGGGTATCAAGTGGTATGCATTGTGGTTCTGATGTGTGAGCATCTTTTCATGTGCTTATTGACTGTGTGTGTATCTTGCCTGGAGAAAGGTTTATTTGGATCCTTTGCCATTTTTAAAATTATGTTGTTTGTCTTTGTTTATTATTATTATATTGAGAGAGAGGATCTCACTTTGTCATTTAGGCTGAAGTGTAGTGGCGTAAACTCGGTTCACTGGTGCCTTGACTTCTTGGGCCCAAGTAGTCCTCCAGCCTCAAACCCCCAGGGAGCTGGGGCTACAGGCATGCACCACTATACCTGGCTAATTTTTGTATTTCTTGTAGATTCGGGGTTTCACCATGTTTCACCATGTTACCCACGCTGGTCTCAAACTCCTGAGCTCAGTTGATCTGCTGCCTTGGCCTCCCAAAGTACTGAGATTACATGCATGAGTCACCACGCCCAGCCTATCTTTTTATTACTGAGTTGTAAGAGTTCTTTTTATATTCTGGATACAAAGCCTTTATCAAATATTTAGAGATTGCAAATTTTTTTCCCATTCTATGGCTTGTCTTGTCATTTTGATAGTATTCTTTGAAACACAAAAGCTTTCTATTTTGATGCCATCCATTACTAAAAAAAACAACTATTACTCCAGTATGGCATTTCATAAGCTTTTTTTTTTGTTTTTCCTAGTATGTTTTTAAAAAATTTTAAATTAACATATAGTAACTAACTTTTGTATTCATAAGTAGTTACCCATGGAAACTATTTGGAGGTACTGTATTATAACACCGACACAGGAGGAACATCAGAAAATGTTAAAAAATAAGAAAGCAGGTGTTAAGACTTGTAAATGATGTTTTGCCAGAATCCTCCAGAACAATGCTGAAAATAGCTCCCACTCCCACTCAAGCTTTCCAGGGAACACCATGCTTAGGGCCTTAAGTAATCCTTTGAGTCTTAGCAAACTTATATTGTGGTTGGTTCCATTTTAAAACAAAATGATCATACGGTCCAGAAACAGAAGTTTGCTGATTTTGAAGTTAAAAAATAATAGAAATAGATTTCTTACCAAGACAAGATCTCCCAAGTCCTCCATAACAGCTGAAAGGGAAATACAGTTTTGAAGTTTGTACATTTGATTCCATCCCCAGTTACAACTAAAGACTCACTCTTTCTGCCTTCTATTTATAACTCTAATGCCTAGCACAGTGCCTTGTGCACACAGCTTAATAAATCTTCTATTTGATGAATTCCTACTCATCTTTTAAAACCTCAAATTTCATTTCCTAAAATGCCTTTGCGCTCCTACAGAAAGGATCATTCTTCTGTGTGCTGCCTTTCCTGTCTTACTGCACTTAAATGGTAGTGTTACTTAGTTAGAAGCTCCTCGAAAGTGGGAGCTATGCCTCCTTCGGTAGTTGCAGTGTGTGGCACACAGTAGATGTAATTGGTTGAATTATGTTCCCCCAAAAGACATGCTGAAGTCCTTATCCTATAGCTGTGAGTGGGACCTTATTCAGAATTAGAGTCTTTGCAGGCATATTCAAGTTCAGAAGAATTAGAGTGGGCCCTCATCCCAGATGACTAGTGTCCTTACAAGAGGAGAACACCATGCAAAGACACAGACACGCAAGGAATGGTGTGATGACAGAAGCATAGTAGAGGGATTTGGTTGCAAGCCAAGGCCTGCCAAAGATTGATGGCCACCACCCGAACTAGGAAGAGGAATGGAAGGACTCTACTCAGGCTCAGAGGCGTGGCTCTGCTCTCACCTTAATTTCAGACTTACACGCTCTAAAAATGGAAAATAAGAAATTTCTGTTGTTTTCAGCTACCCAGTTTGTGGTACTTTTTGTTAAAATAGCCCAAGGAAACTACAAAATACAGTAGGCAAGCAGTGATCACTGATTTTATAAGGGGCGGAAAATGCCCAGGCAGAACCAGTGAGACGGCACTGGCATACAACAGGACAGTGAAAAAGTATACCCTGTGCTGAAGGATCAGCTCTATAGCTGTCTCGCAATGTGGGTCTCAAAGATGGCAGGACGGAGAGAAAGTAAACTAGTCGCTGTAGGACACCTTTAAAAGCTTTGGGACAATGAAAAATTCCAGTTGTCAGATGCTTTATTTTATGGGAGACTGAAACATTCAGCATATGCAAAGTTACCCATCCACTGTCTATCCTGTTTGTACTCCGCACAAGCATCAGAGCATTTGGGTTGCTAGAACCTGCTAGAGTCGAATTTGTTGAGTTTCACTTCACTAAACTGAGCTAGTTTGATTTCTGGAAACTTTTCAGCAGAGGCTGCTTTCATAAATTTATTTGGAAAAAAAAATCTCGAAAAGGTTCGAAAAATAGGGCCCTATACTGGAAAATATTTTTCCCGAGCTACATCTAACTATCTAATACTATTTTACCTATAGGTAAAAATAGAAACTTTGGCATCAACAACTGGATCTATTTGAAATTTAGCTTTTATAAGTAGTACCGGATGAGCGACTATGCTTTTCCATAGAGGAAGATGGGAAACAATAGCATGTAGAATGACTCAAGTTTTTTACTGCATATTCTGCAAACTATATTTCTCTGTATGTTAAAATTCAGTTTGACCACAAACAGGTATGTGTCCCCAAAGACCCTCGTACTAGTTGGTTTGCCTTCAAAACTGGCACTGTTGGCATGAGGCCTCTGGGCTATAAGTTTAAGGAGAGAAGTTGGCTGGGCTTGTCTTGTCACTAGGTGCCCTGAGACTTCATGGCTACTTGATACGATTTCTATACTTCTGACTCAAACAATGCCCTTAGGGACCTTGGGGCTTTTGAGGGCGCAAACTATTTAATACCCTACCTTGTTCCAGAAAGGATTAAGCAGGTTATTAGAATATGAAATGTACATTACGCACAGCAAAGGCCAGTTTCCTCACCATGGCTGGCTCTCTGTCGCTTTGCGTGTTTTACTCTGGTGGAGCATCTATTGTTTATTATCCACATTCGCCCCTTTGAACCTTTGCCATGCTGCTATCTGCTGCCCACAGCCACTCTCGCTGGCCTTCCTTCAAGCTGCTTTTCTTTCCTCCTCATTTTTTCCCTCTTCCTTAACCCATTTTATTTTGTTGTAAACTTCCACACCAGCAACTTGTGTTTTTATAGCCACTGACACACAATGAGAGGCCCTCTTTCAATTTGGTAGCAGAGTCATCAGATGTGATTTTCAAGTCACATTTTTAAGATTGTTCATTGCTTAGAGATAAGTTTTTTGGTAGCTAATTTGGAAAAAATGGACTTTATTCTTTTTTTTTTTTTTTTTTTTTTTTTTTTGAGATGGGGTCTCACTGTCACCCAGGCTGGAGTGCAGTATTGTCATCTTGGCTCACTGCTACCTCTGCTTCCCAGGCTCAAGCAATTCCACCTCAGCCTCCTGTGTAGCTGGGACTACAGGTGTGTACCACCACACCTGATGTGTTCTTTTTTTTTTTTGTTTTTTTGTTTTTTTTGCAGAGATGGGGTTTTGCCATGTTGCCCAGGCTGGTCTCAAACTCTTGAGCTCAAGAGATCCTCCCGCCACAGCCTCCCAAAGAGCTGGGATTACAGGCGCGAGCCACTGCACCTGGCCAAAAAATTGATTTTCTTGCTCTTGAAAACAACTAAGCAATTGAAAAGCTAATAAGTGAGGTGGTGGTGGTGAGGAGGGGAAAGGAGGGTCCCAAAATTGCAACTAAAGGTCTAAGACAAAAGGAAAGGAAAAGAAAAGCTTGCAACCTTGTTCTAATAATTTCCAAATCTACTCATTCATTGTCCCTCCTCTGGAAAAGTAGTAACAGCACATATTTGATGATTTACTCAGATATTGTGCTAGTGCTTTTCTAGTGCATCATTACCTTTTAATCCTTACAACAAACTATGAAGCAGGTAATAACTGAATAGGGCTACAATAATTCCAGAAATCATTTTGACTGAGACATTTCTCATGTAGTGTATGGAGAAAAGGAGAACGTACTGTATTAAGGTTTTTCGGTTATTTTTAAGGCAGATTGCAAGCTCCTCCATTATTTCACAGCAGCAGGCTATGTCAGGAGTCCCTCCATCTGCGATTGGATGATGATGGGTGATAATTCCACACTGCTGGTAGAGATCCAGAAGGTTTGGAACTCTATATTTTGACAGTTCCCCTCTGGTGCAGAAAACAAATATGTCTTGTATACCACAGCTCTTTAGTTCTTCTGCCAATAGACCAGGATACACAGAGACACACACATAGAAAACATCACACATTTAAATACCAGCAAGAGGGAGAATACGAAGTTAAGTTTCTTAAGCCAAAGTAGTACCAAATGACAATCTATAAATCTGAAGTGCTTATTGATACATCTGAATCAAAAGGCGACTAGAATTAAGCCTGATTTTACAAGTCAAAATGCCTCTTACTGAATTTCAAGATAAGTCAATTGCTGTTCTTGCAAAAATTTTTTTTGCAATAAATACTGGTTTAAAATCACTCTTAAAACACTTAATATTGAGTAGCAAACATGGTTGACTTTGTGAGAAAAAGAAAAAAAGTGCCATTAATTAAGGAATGATAGATCTATGTTCAGTTAAGGAATGACAGCACTTTTTTTTTTTTTTCCCACAAAATCAACCATGTCTGCTACTTTATCACTTAACTGTTCGCTTGACTCTGAGTATTGTACATAAAATCTCCAGCAGGGCCCTGGCACTAGAGTGCTAGCATCTCCCTCATATCTGCACTGTAACACATCCTTGTGTATTTAATTTTATTGACTAGGTCTCCAGAAAATAAAACATTAACTGTATTAAACTTATGTGAACTAGCTATTTTCATTATAATGATATGAATACTGTAGGCATTCTATACACTGGAACTTATTTATGGCAATATTCACTATAGAGCATTTGGTTTAAAATAAATAATTCTGGCTGATCTAAGTGCCCCCAACCCCAGCCCTCTCCCTGCCCCTTAAATCCAAGGACATTTAGCCATTTAAGTACAAAGTATTTTCTCATGAACTAGTCCCTGAGATATGCACTACTGTACATCTATTTGCCTCTTGTACACATTTGGTAATTTTTATTATCCAGCAATTTTCCAACTTTCTGAAAAATGGCTGAAGAGGTATCTCAGGAACTGCTGCAGGGAGATTCTAGGTCTCCCATCAAATATTTTGACCTGTTTTATGTACTAGATTCCGTTTCAGATTTCATTGCAGAAAAAAAAGTTTTTAGAAAAAAACTGGAAACCACTTTTATAGAAAATGCTAAATGAATATGGCAGTCAAAATGTACAAGACTGACTGAGCTAATGATTTAAATTACACATATTTTGCTTATGACCTAAATGTTCTCCAAATGTAAATTTCCTAGCATGGTGGGTGTATCTAAAGCAAAAAGTTTTTATAAATACTACAAGGGTTAACTATCTATTAGGGTCTTTCTTTGGTAGGTAAGGAATATAAATATTTTTTGAGACAGTGTCTTGCTCGGCCACCCAGGTTGGAGTGCAGGAATGCAATCTCATCTCAGCTCATTGCACTCCAGCCTGGGCGACAGAGCACGACTTGTGATCCAGGCACCATCTCAGCTCACTGCAGCTTTGATTTCCTGGGCTCAAGTGATGTTCCCACCTCAGCCTCCCATGTTGCTGGGACTGTAGACGCATGCCATAATGCCCGGCTAATTTTTGTATTTTTTGCAGAGACAGGGTTTTGCCTTATTGCCCAGGCTGGTCTTGAACTGAGCTCAAGCAATCTACCCGCCTCGACCTACCAAAATGCTGGGATTACAGGTGTGAGCCACCGCACCTGGCCAGGAATAAAGTTTTAATTAGCAAACTGATGTTCTAGAATAACCAGGAAAAGGTTTTAAGGTTCAAAAATTCTATACTGGTCAGAATCAAGCAATATATGCATTTTAATTTGCTGTACTTTAAGGACATTGGTAGAACTAGTAGATTTTAGACATTCCAGGCCAATCAAAATAAAATCTTTTGAAAAATCCACATTTGTGGGCTGAGCGTGGTAGCTCATGCCTGTAATCTAACACTTTGGGAGGCCGAGGTTGGGAGGTCTGGAGTTCAAGACCAGTCTGACCAACATGGAGAAACCCCATTTCTACTAAAAATACAAAATCCCAGCTACTGTAATCCCAGCTACTTGGGAGTTTGAGGCAGGACAATTGCTTGAACCTGGGAGGCAAAGATTGTGGTGAGCTGAGATGGTGCCATTGCACTCCATCCTGGGCAACAAGATCAAAACTCTGTCTCAAAAAAAAAAAAAAGAAAAGAAAATCCACATGTGTTAGTATCATGCAATATGTAAATTCTAAATTGGAGCAGATTATGAGGATTATTAGACTTGTGGCTATACTGGTATGAACATCCTTGAGCATGCAACAACCAGTTCCCACTCTGTCTTTTCCATCTAGATGCTGGCTCTCAACATTTTCCATCTAGGATTCACAATTTCACTGTTTGCTTGGATTTCCCAGCTCACACTTAATTTCTACTACCACAGTCAAGTCTGCAAGGAACAGCAAAGACCTGGGCAGAGCAATATGTCAGTTTTCTATTTACATACTTTTCCCCCACCAACTTCTACCTCAAATGCAGTTTATATGTGTAATATAACTACAACAATCAGTGAAAAGCAACTCCATGTGTAGGTAAATGCTGAGTCCTCTGTGCCCTTTCACAAATACCTCTTTACATATTAGAATAAGTCTACAGTTTGAAACTTCACAAAATATTAAAAATTTATTCTTTTTTTTTTTTTTTTTTTTTTGAGGCGGAGTTTCGCTCTTGTTACCCAGGCTGGAGTGCAATGGCACGATCTTGGCTCACCGCAACCTCCGCCTCCTGGGCTCAGGCAATTCTCCTGCCTCAGCCTCCTGAGCAGCTGGGATTACAGGCACGTGCCACCATGCCCAGCTAATTTTTTGTATTTTTAGTAGAGACGGGGTTTCACCATGTTGACCAGGATGGTCTCGATCTCTTGACCTCGTGATCCACCCGCCTCGGCCTCCCAAAGTGCTGGGATTACAGGCTTGAGCCACCGCGCCCGGCTTTAAAAATTTATTCTTATATTAAAAATAAACTATAGTTTGTTCCTTTTGACAGAGAGATTTTCAATGTTATTTAAAAATACCCATTAGGCCTGGAATCCTAGAACTTTGGGAGGCCGAGGTGGGCAGATCACGAGGTCAGGAGTTCGAAACCAGCCTGACCAACATGGGGAAACCCTGTCTCTACTGAAAATACAAGAATTAGCTGGTGTGATGGCATGTGCCTGTAATCCCAGCTAGGAGGCTGAAGCAGGAGAATCATTTGAACCCGGTAGGCGGAGGTTGCAGTGAGCTGAGATTGCGCCATTACACTCCAGCCTGGGCAACAGAGTTAGATTCTGTATCAAACAACAACAACAACAACAAAAACCCAAAAAATCCTATTAGTGTGGTTGTGTGATATTACACCTACCTGTGTCTTTTTCAACATTTCTTCTAACATCTTTAAATTTACAACCTATAAGTAATAATAAAGCAAGAAAACAGGTCAGCTTTTGGTCATATATAACAGGTATGTTTAAACACTTACATAGATAGCTACTTTATAAAGTCATTCCACATGATCATTGGTATGTTTCAGTTCTATTTTGAATGTGAATGTCAATTTCTTCTATTTCTAGGAATATAATTACAGGGTTCGTCCTCATCAAGGATTCTGTGTTCTGTGTCTCTTCTGTAACAAGTACCTAGTTATAGTCCTCAGCCTCATTTGTACCCCAGGCCTTAAGCTTTATTAAGATGGGAAAAGCAGAACTGAAGAACTGTGACTGCAGATCTGGAAGGGATGAAAGGTAGATCTATGTTTCTTTATCTAGAGTCCACCATGAGGGCTTCCCAAAGTGTGTTCCTCAGTGCTGACCGTCTGTGAAATTTCCTTATTGCTCACTACAGAGAATGATATATAGGTGGTAAGATGCTTGTTCTAAATACATTGTTGGCATGGATATGATGAAAAGGGAACACTTTTACACTGCCGGTGGGAATGTAAACTAGTACAACCACTATGGAAAACAATGTGGAGATGCCTTAAAGAACTAAAAGCAGATCTACATTTGACCAACAATCCTGCTACTTAGGTATAAACCCAGAGGAAAAGAAATCATTATATGAAAAAATACTTGCATACACTTATATCTAGCAGCATAATTTGCAATTGCCATAATATGGAACCAGCCCAAATGCTCATCAGTCAATAGCAGATAAAGAAAATGTGAGATTCCCAGGCAAGATGGCCAAATAGGAATAGCTCTGGTCTGCAGTTCCCAGCGAGACCAGTGCAGAAGATGAGTGAGTGGCACCTGGAACACCAGCAAGACAGAACCTTTCACTCCCCTGGAAAGGGGGCTGAAGTCAGGGAGCCAAGTGGTCTTGCTCAGTGGATCCCACCGTCAATGGAGCCCAACAAGCTAAGATCCACTGGCTTGAAATTCTCTCTGCCAGCAGAGCAGTCTGAAGTCAACCTGGGACACTCAAGCTTGGTGCGGGGAGGGGTGTCTGCCATTACTAAGGCTTGAGTAAGCGGTTTTCCCCTCACAGAGTGTAAACAAAGCCACCCGGAAGTTCGAACCGGCTGCGGAACCCATCACAGCACTGCAAAGCCGCTGAAGCCAGCCTGCCTCTCTAAATTCTTCCTCTCTGGGCAGTGCAACTCTGAAAGAAAGGCAGCAGCTCCAGCCAAGGGCTTATATATAAAACTCCCACCTCGCTGGGACAGAGCTTATGGGGGAAGGGGTGGCTGTGGGCGCAGCTTCCACAGACTTAAACATTCCTGCCTGCCAGCTCTGAGAACAATAGATCACGCAGCACAGTGTTCAAGCACTCCTAAAGGACAGACTGCCTTCTCGGGTGGGTCCCTGATGCCCATGCCTCCTGACAGTGAGACACCTCCAGCAGGGGTCAACAGACACCTCATACGGGAGAGCTCTGGCTAGCATCTGGCAGGTGCCCCTCTGGGATGAAGCTTCCAGAGGAAGGAGCAGGCAGCAATCATTGCTGTTCTGCAGCCTTCGCTGGTGATACCAGGCAAACAATGTCTGCAGTGGACTTCCAGCAAACTCCAACAGACCTGAAGAAGAGGGGCCTAACTGTTAGAAGGAAAACTAACAAACAGAAAGCAACAAGCATCAACATCAACAAAAAGGACACCTACACAAAAACCCCACTGAAAGTCACCAACATCAAAGACCAAAGGTAGATAAATCCACGAAGATGAGGAAAAACCAGCACGAAAAGGCTTAAAATTCCAAAAGCCAGAATGTTTCTTCTCCTCCAAAGGATCACAAGCCCTCACCAGCATGGGAACAAAACTGGACAGAGAATGAGTCTGACAAATTGGCAGAAGTAGGCTTAAGAAGGTGGTGGTGGGGGGTAATAATAAACTCCTCTGAACTAAAGGTGCATGTTCTAACTCAATGCAAGGATGCTAAGAACCTTGATAAAAGGTTACAGAAAGTGCTAACTAGAATAACCAGTTTAGAGAAGAATATAAATGACCTGATGGAGCTGAAAAACACAGCACAAGAACTTTGTGAAGCATATACAAGTATCAATAGCAGAATCAATTCAAGTAGGAGAAAGGACATTAGAGATTGAAGAACAGCTTAATAAAATAAAGTGTGAAGATGAGATTAGAGAATAAAGAATGAGAAAGAATAAACAAAGCCTCCAAGAAATATGGGACTATGTGAAAAGACCAAACCTACGTTTGATTGGTATACCTGAAAGTGACAGGGAGAATGGACGCAAGTTGAAAAACATTCTTTAAGATATTATCCAGCGGAACTTCCCCAAACTAGCAAGACAGGCCAACATTCAAATTCAGGATATATAGAGAACATCACAAAGTTTCTCCTTGAGAAGAACAACCCCAAGACACATAATTGTCAGATTCATCAGGGTGGACATGAAAGAAAAAATATTAAGGGCAGCCAGAGAGAAAGGTTGGGTTACCCACAAAGGGAAGCCCATCAGACAAACAGTGAATCTCTCTGCAGAAACCCTACAAGCCAGAAGAGAGTGGGAGCCAATATTCAACATCCTTAAAGAAAAGAATTTTCAACCCAGAATTTCATATCCAGTCAAACTAGACTTCATAAGCAAAGGAGAAATAAAATCCTTTACAGACAAGCAAATACTGAGGGATTTTGTCACCACTAGGCCTGCCTTACAAGAGCTCCTGAAGGAAGTACTAAATATGGAAAGGAAAAACCAGTACCAGCCTCTGCAAAAACATAACAAAATGTAAAGACCATCTACACTATGAAGAAACTGCATAACTAATGGGCAAAACAACCAGCTAGCATCATAATGGTAGGATCAAATACACATATAACAATAATAACCTTAAATGTAAATGGGCTAAATTCCCCAGTTAAAGGACACAGACTGGCAAATTAGATAGAGTCAAGAACTATCGGTGCTGTATTCAGTAGACCCATCTCATGTGCAAAGACACACATAGGCTCAAAATAAAGGGATGGAGTAATATTTACCAAGCAAATGGAAAGCAGAAAACAGCAAGGGTTGCAATCCTAGTCTCTGATAAAACAGATTTTAAATCAACAAAGATCAAAAGAGACAAAGAAGGGCATTACATAATGGTAAAGGGATCAATGCAACAAGAGTGCTGACTATCCTAAATATAAGTGTACCCAATAGAGGAGCACCCAGATTCATAACACAAGCTCTTAGAGACCTACAAAGAGACTTAGACTCCCACACAATAATAGTGGGAGACTTTGACGCCCCACTGTCATTATTCAGCAGATCAACAAAACAGAAAATTAACAAGGATATTCAGGACTTGAACTCAGATCTGGACCAAGTGGACCTAATAGACATCTACATAACTCTCCACCCTAAATCAACAGAATATACTTTCTTCTTAGCACCACATCATACTTATTCTAAAACTGACCACATAATTGGAAGTAAAACACTCCTCAGCAAATTCAGATAGGAAGGGAGGAAGTCTCTGTCTCTGTTTGCAGATGACATGATTGTATATTTATAAAACCCCATTTTCATGATATTGATTCTTCATATCCATGAACATGGAATGTTTTCCCATTTGTTTGTGTCCTCTCTTATTTCCTTGAGCAGTGGTTTCTACTTCTTGAAGAAGTCCTTCATATCTCTTATAAGTTATATTCCTAGATATTTTATTCTCTTTGTAGCAATTGTGAATGAGAGTTCACTCATGATTTGTCTCTCTATCATTAGTGTATAGGAATGCTTGTGATTTTTGCACATTGATTTTGTATACTGAGACTTTGCTGAAGTTGCTTATCAGCTTAAGACACTTTTCTGCTTTCTCATGTGGGCATTTAGTGCCATAAATTTCCCTGTAAGCACTGCTTTAGCTGTGTTCCAGAGATTCTGGTCTGCTGTGTCTTTGTTCTCATTGGTTTCAAAGAACTTATTTATTTCTGCCTTAATTTTGTTATTTACCCAGTAGTCATTCAGGAGTAGGTTGCTCAGTTTCAATGTAGTTGTGCAGTTTTGAGTGAGTTTCTTAATCCTGAGTTCTAATTTGACTGCACTGTGGTTTGAGAGACTGATTGTCATACTGCCCAAAGTAATTTATAGATTCAATGTATTTCAATCAAGCTACCATTGATTTTCTTCATAGAATTAGAAAAAACTACTTTAAATTTCATATAGTCCCAAAAAAGAGCCCAGATAGCCAAGACAATCCTAAGCAAAAATAACAAAGCTGGAGGCATCATGCTACCTGACTTGAAACTATACTGCAAGGCTAGAATAACCAAAATGCATGGTACTGGTACCAAAACAGATATAAAGACCAATGGAACAAAACAGAGGCCTCAGAAATAATGTCACACATTTCTGAGCCTTTGATCTTTGAAAAACTGACAAAAGCAAGCAATGGAGAAAGGATTCCCTATTTAATAAATGATGTTGGGAAAACTGGCTAGCCATATGCAGAAAACTGAAACTGGACCCCTTCTTTATATATTACACAAAAATTAACTCAAGATGGATTAAAGACTTAAATGTAAGGCCTAAAATCATAAAAATCTTAGAAGAAAACCTAAGCAATACCATTCAGGACCTAGGCATGGACAAAGACTTCATGGCTAAAACACCAAAAGCAAAGGCAACAAAAGCCAAAATTGACAAATGGGATCTAATTAAACTAAAAAGCTTCTGCATAGCATAAGAAACTATCATTAGAGTGAACAGGCAGTCTACAGAATGGGAGAACATTTTTGTAATCTATCCGTCTGACAAAAGGGCTAATATCCAGAATCTACAAAGAACTTAAACAAATTTACAAGAAAAAAAACATACAACCCCAATATGAACAGACACTTTTCAAAAGAAGACATCTATACTGCTAATAAACTTATGAAAAAAAGCTCATCTGGTAATTAGAGAAATGCAAATCAAAACCACAATGAGATACCATCTCATGCCAGTTAGAATGGCAATCATTAAAGTCAGGAAACAACAAATGCTGGAGAGGATGTGGAGAAATAGGAACACTTTTGCACTGTTGGTGGCAGTGTGTAAATTAGTTCAACCGTTGTGGAAGACAGTGTGGCGATTCCTCAAGGATCTAGAACCAGAAATACCATTTGACCCAACAATCCCATTACTGTGTCTATATCCAAAGCATTATAAATCATTTTACCATAAAGACACATGCACATGTATGTTTACTGCAGCAGTGTTCACAATAGCAAAGACTTGAAACCAACCCAAATGCCCATCAGTGATAGCCTGAATAAAGAAAATGAGGCACATATATGCCATAGAATACTATGCAGCCATAAAAAGAATTAGTTCTTGTCCTTTGCAAGAACATGGATGAAGCTGGAAACCATCATTCTCAGTAAGTCAGCACAGGAACAGAAAACCATACACCACATGTTCTCACTCATAAGTGGGAGTTGAACAATGAGAACATATGGGCACAGGGAGGGAAACATCACACAGTGGGGCTGTCGGGGGGTAGGGGGCAAGAGGAGGGGTAGCAATAGGAGAAATACCTAATGTAGATGACAGGTTGATGGGTGTAGAAAACCACCATGGCATATGTATACCTACATAACAAACCTGCATGTTCTGCACATGTATCCCAGAACTTAAAAGTATAACAAAAAATAAACAGCAACAAAAAGAAAATATTTTATATATATATATATATATATATATATATATATATATATATATATATATATATCATACCATGTAATACTACTCAGCCATGAAAAGGAACAAAATAATGGCATTCATAGCAACCTGGATGGAACTGGATACTGTTATTCTAAGTGAAGTAACTTAGGAATGGAAAACCAAACATTGTATGTTGTCACTCATAATTGGGAGCTAAGTTTGGAGGACACCAAGGCATAAGAATGATACATTGGACTTTGGGGACTTGGGGGAATGGGAGGGAGGGGGATGAGGATAAAAGACTACACATTGGGTACAGTGTACACTGCTCAGGTAATGGGTGCACCAGAATCTCAGAAATCACCACTAAAGAACATATCTATGTCATGAAAAACCACCTTTTCCCCCAAAAGCGATTGTAATAAAAAATAAATTAGAAAAAATATATATGTATTGATAGGAAGTGCATGACCGTGTTACCTACCTGGAAGAGCACATAAACCAAGAAACTGAGAGCAATTCACTCGTGACAAAGGTAGCCTGAAAAGAAGAAAAATGTATCAAGTTTAGTTAAGTTTTTTTAAAAAAATGTTATAAATGGGAATTCAGTTTAATCAATACTGTTGCTTGCCACCGAATAAGGGTGTGTTAAAGTTTTACAGTAGTCACAAAATAAGAATTCATAGTTAAATATCAATATGTTGGTCTCAAAAAGGCATAGAAAGACTGAAAGTTTTAAAACAGGGACTCATTTAAAAAAATAACATTATCAATGTTTTTATTGAACTCATGAACTCCAATAACATTAAGATGTAACACAGTGAATAATGTAACACAGTGAAAGGGATACACAATTCACTTGTTTAAGGGTATTCCAAGGATGTAGTTTCCAGTAATACAGTTTTATCAAGATTAGAGTTTAGATCACTAAAGGAAGTTAAAAGATTATTTATTTAAGTCTTAAAAATGACAAGTTAGTCTGGATGTAGTGGCTCACGCCTATAATCTCAGCACGTAGAGAGGCCGAAGCAGGCGGATTGTTTGAGCCCTGGAGTTTGAGACCAGCCTGGACAACATGGTGAAACCCTATCTCTACTAAAATAAAAAAACAAAAAACCAAGTTAATTTAAATTTACCTTAAAGATAATAATGCCTAGATTGCCAACAGGTAGAATACAGTATACTTACGTTATCCTGTGGTATATTACCAGAGGTAATTTGTATTAGTAATCTTAGGAAAATAAATAAAAAATGACTATCTACAATTTTCTTCCCAGCATTTATACTACATTAGTGTTTTAAGATGTTTTGGTAGAGCTTCCTTAAAAGATATAATTTCATATAATGAAAACCACAGCCTACTCATTCGTTGTTGTAATGGTTTTTGATTAAAAAGAAATAATGTCAAGAAATCGTATTCTCAGTTTACAGTACTCAGGGACAGAGGATCACCTTGTCTGCATGTCAGAAGATGATTTAGAGGAAAACGGGAGGCATCATATAAATGCCACCTGACTTTGAAAAGTAGATGAATTTTGATGTTTAATTGGGGATTTTAAGTGGAAATGAAAGGTCATGCTATTTGATGGCAAGACAAAAGAACTTTAGGACACTTTTTCTCTTCTGGCAGTAGGGATCGTGCTTTCTTAAGGAGAGAGACGATTACATTTGCAGTGATGAGAGAAAGCATTTGATTGCTCATTGTAGAGAATCTGGTATAACCATAAGTTACTTGCCAAGTTAATCTTGATTTTACATAGAAACTTTTTGTTATTGCATTGATGTGGCTTTTTATCTTAAACAGAGTCTGTTGATAGATGCATTACTGTGACATTACTTCTGTTACCTAGGATTTGACTTAATGAGAAATGACTAAACATTTCATCTCATATTTGGTATACTTTTTTTTTTTGTCATAAAAGAATGAGATTTTGGTACTAAATGAGAGATTATTTCATCCTACCTCTACTTCTTACTTACTTGCTTCTACTAAGGTTTTCTCAATGTATAAAGAAGGAACAACAACAACAACAAAAGAGTCTTATTCTGTATCATAGATAATAAATGAATCATGGAGTTAGAATTATCCTAACTGGCTCTAAAGATTAGAATTATATAATCAGCAGGGGATTCACTTAATATTTTCAACATGTGAACTATATTCTACTAAGATTATGATGTAACTAAATTTACATTTATGATATCAATTATGATTTTAGCTCATCATTGATCAGAAATGCTAACATACCATGATATTTGAATTGGAGTCTGTTCATCTTCAATAGGCTCTTCGTCTGATGAGTCAAACTCACTTGCTTGTATTGAACTAGGCTTCAAAACAAATGTTATGTTAAATAACTGTAAAGAATATTTTTGTAGTTTTAAGATAGCGAATCCTTGCTTAAACACACACTGAATTTGTATTTGCAATGCATTCAGCCATCAACCCAGAATATCCATATGATCAGCAATATTAATAATAAATGACTGATAATTACTTTCCTATTAATAATTATAGTACTACATAGTGGAAAGAGAGTTCGATTGGGAACCAAGAAATCTGGCTTCTGGTTTTGGTTCTGCCACTTACTGTATACTCTCTGACAAGCCAGTTTATTCTGAATCTGTTTTCCTCAACTACTAAAGTGAGGAGATTTATTCATTCACAAATATTTCTTGGCTACCTTCATTTGCCAAGCTCTGGAGACGCAAAAGATCTGTAAGATAAATAGCATACCTTCAGTATGGCTGGAGAGACAGATATGTGCACAGATTACAGAAGAAAGGTATTATGTAAGTGCTGAAATGGAAGCAGAACTACACACTGTAGGGCAGAGAAGAGAATGACCACTTATGGAGCTGGAGAAGGCTTCACAGAAGAGATGCTTCAGCTGGGTTTTGAAGGAAGAGCAGAAGGTTTTTAAGAAGATAGCAAAGGCAGGGTGCAGTGGCTTACGCCTGTAATCTCAGCACTCTGGGAGGCAGAGGCGGGCGGATCACCTGAGGTCAGGAGTTTGAGACCAGCCTGGCAAACATGGCAAAACCTGGCTCTACCAAAAATCCGAAAATTAACCGGGCATGGTGGCACACACCTGTAATCTCAGCTACTTAGGACGCTGAGGCAGGAGCATCACTTGAACCTGGTAGAGGTTGCAGTGAGCCAAGAACACACCACTGCACTCCAGCCTGGACGACAGAACACGACTCCATCTCAAAAGATAGGAAAGAAATTAAGACAAGGCAAAAGGGGAAAGCGCTTGTGTACTGAGGAACTGTGATGTCAAAATACAGATGGAGTAGGGGAGATGAAGCTAGAGAAGTAGTTTTACCCACCCTTTTTCTCAAAAAATAATCAATACCTCTCCTAGTAGTTTGGTGCGGGTGGTGTACACGAACTAATCTGCCCCTAGTTTTATGAATCACTAGACTAGAGAGATTGAGATAGAGTTTGTATGCTGATCTAAGCAGTTGGAACTTAATCATGCAGCATTTTGACAGGAAGGCTTCTACACTCCCTGCTGAAATTTTAAAGGATCAAAAGAAAAAGAAAAACGAAACGGAACAAAACCCATACCCTTTTCTCACTCCCTAGTTGGAACCAATTGAAAGATAAGACATTGGAGAAGCAAATGGAGTTTTATTATTGTATATTAAATGGAGTGTGCAGCTTAAACCTGTGGCCAAGTGGGCTTGTCCCTTGTTCACCCCAGAATTAGACAAACATATCCACCCAGTCACAGGAGGCCATGGACAGTCTGGGGCTCCTGTGTGCTACATAGTGGACCAGAAAGCACCTTCTGCAGGCAAGCAGGTAGATCCCAAGAGAGAAGGGAAGAAAAAGTTGAGATACCAGTGTTCAGTTCTTCCAAACTCGGCGATCAGATAACTCAATGGAGACAGATGGAGAAAGAGGCCAGGAGTGAAGGACGGCAGATGTCCCTCCACATAGCAACATAGGGATTAGCAACTATAACCACTTAATGCCCTTTCTAGTTCTGAAGCTATATTCTACAGCAGTCTTGGTACTGGAAGATCACAGGATGGCCAATTTAGGCTTTTTTTTTTTTTTTTTTTTTTTTTGGCAGGGTCTCGCTCTGTTGCCCAGACTGGAGAGCAGTGGCGTTATCTCAGCTCACTTCAACCTCTGTCTCTGGGTTCAAGCTATTCTAGTGCCTCAGCCTCCGGAGTAGCTGGGACTACAGGTGCGCACCACCATGCTCGGCTAATTTTTGTATTTTTAATAGAGATGGGGTTTCACCGTGTTGGCCGGGCTGGTCTCCAACTCCTAGTCCTCAAGTGATCCGCCCATCTTGGACTCCCATAGTGTTGGGATTACAGACGTGAGCCACCACGCCTGGCCCTAGGCTATGGATTTCTGTTGTTTTGACTGTATCTGAAGTATTATCATCAACTGCCCCCTAACGAAAGACTTCCAGTAGGTTGTCAACCCTGGTAGTAGGAAATACGGGTTAGGTGGGGGATCTTCAGCTCCTTGCCTGGATCTGCTTTTTCTTTTAAGCAGCTTTGATGATTCATATTTCAAATTTGTGTGACTCATTCACTATGCCTCTGCCACCCATGTTTATTAATCCTAACAGAGCTGGACGTTTCCACTTCCCCAAGCCCTGTAATTCTGAACGTCACAAGAAAAGGGCAGCATTGCCAGGTGGCCCTGGGGCATGGTGACAGCGGTGAAGTCGCCCACAAGCCGGGGCGTGGCATTCGTACTCATGGTTTCCCCAGTGGGCGCAGGGCAGCGCCCGGACACCCTTCGGGGCCGGGATATCGCGCCCACTCATCGCTGGCACTCAAGCTCCTCGGCTCGGTTTCCTCCGTACAACGGGGCTCGGTACTCTTTGGCTGGGCGGTTGGGAGGCTTATGAGACCCCGCAGGCGACAGGTGTCAGCCCACAGCAGGTGTACAGCGAATGTCCGTCTTTCCTTCGTCGGCCATCGACCCTGCTCCTTCGCAGCCATCTCTCGTGCCCGTGGGGGGCAGCGTCACCTCCCCGACCCACAGGACGGTTACGGACAGGGCTGCCAGGGCTGCCCTCCGGCTCAGGATCGGGTCCCCGGGAAAGCTTGCGTCCCTGCAGCCTCGCTCTTCCAAGCCCCGGCACGCCCAACTCACCGGCTTCATCGCTGGCCGCGCCACGTAGAGACCAGTGCCGCCTCCCTCCGCAGCGCCGGCGGCTCACCGGTGCCCCGCGCCGAACCCGCCCTTCCCCTTAGCTCACTGGTTCTTCCTTCTGTGATGTGGGCGCGGCGTCTCCAGCAACCAATCAGATCCGCTTCTGGTTTCTTACTCCGCCTTTGGGTGGCCGACGGCTCGTCCTCTAACCGCTGATTGGTTCCTAGACGACCTTTGAAAGACGCGCGGGAGGCGGGCCCTGTGAGGCGTTGATTGGCTGGAAGGGTGCCCACCTCCTCCCGCCAGTTGGGAGAGTGAAGGGGCGGAGTCGGGGCGAAAGCGTCAGAAGGCGGCCCTAGAGTTTGCGGGGACGCTAGAAAGCTGTGCTTTCTGATGGCAGGATGTCACCGTGGTCCATAGGGTTGGGAGTTTTTGTGTTTGTGACAGAGGTCGTAGTAGGTTGCCCAGGCTGGCCTCGAACTCTTGGCCTCAAGCAGTCCTCCTGCCTCAGCCTACCTTGTAGCGGCTAAGGTAGGGAGTTTTTGTTTCTTTAAGTTGTAAATTTTTTCTTATTTTTTAAGGGCTCGGGGAAGCACTGGATTGGATCGTCACATGACAAACACATCACATAGACTTTGTAATTATATATACACATACAAATACTAGGGAAAAAACTAAAAAATCTAGAGTATAAACATATTTTACATGCTTGACGTTTTATTTATCACTTCAGGAACTAGACAAGTGACAGTGTAGATCAATCTTCCTGTCCCCCAAATAGGAATTAAATTATATTGTGTGAAAGGGAGATTATAAGATGCCGGGTAAGATAGGTCTAAGGGCCAGTGTTCCTACATAATTAGCTGTAATCTTTGAAAAAAATTTTGAGTATGTCTCCCACTTCTCCAGTCCCCATTGAAGTAGCCATAGGAAAGGAAGTCACCTAGAGCAGATCTGAGAAAAAATATGCAGAAATTTCAGCTCCTGATTCGTGTTGGGAAAGCCAATGGGTATAGAGCTATTAGAAGAAATTACTTAGTAAAGAAGGTATCACAGTTTGACTTAGAGACTGTATTAGTCAGGATTGCCTGAGGAAAAAAAATGAATAGGATGTGTATACATGCATTTAGACACAGATTTATTTTAAGGAATTGGCTCCTGTGCTTGTGGAAACTTGATGAGTCCAAAATCGGATGGAGGGAGGTCAATGTACTGGAGACTCAGGAAAGGCTGTAATTCAAGTCCAAAGGCTGTTGTAGAACAAAGAAGAGACAATGTTGCGTGTCGTCTGAAGGCTGTCTACTGGCGGAATTACCCCTTGGTCAGGGCAGGGTCAGGCTTTTGTTCTATTCAGGCCTTCAACTGATTGGATGACACCCATCCATATTACTGTATAGAGGGCAATCTGCTTTACTCAGTGTCTCCCAATTTAATGTAAATCTCATCCAAAAACACTTTCACAGAAACATCCAGAATGGTGTTTGTTCAAATAACTGGGCACCATGGCCCAGCCAAGTTGGTGCATAAAATTAACCATCCTAGAGCTCCACAGAGATTTTCCATACTCAGGAAATCCTTTTAGATCTGTGCTGTTCAATATGGTGACCATATTGGCTAATTAGCTCCGCAATCAAAGGCTAAATTAGAAAACTAAATTTTTGCGTGAACTCAAGGGCTACTTCGGAAATACCTGCCCTCTTTTAATATAGATCTGCTTCCTCAGACGAAGTCCTTAGGGTTCAGGAACAGACCACACCCATCACATATTTATAGCTATTGGTTTTTTTTTTTTTTTTTTTTTTTTTTTTTTTTTTTTTGAGACGGAGTTTCGCTCTTGTTACCCAGGCTGGAGTGCAATGGCACGATCTCGGCTCACCGCAACCTCCGCCTCCTGGGTTCAGGCAATTCTCTTGCCTCAGCCTCCTGAGTAGCTGGGATTACAGGCACGCGCCACCATGCCCAGCTAATTTTTTGTATTTTTAGTAGAGACGGGGTTTCACCATGTTGACCAGGATGGTCTCGATCTCTTGACCTCGTGATCTACCCGCCTCAGCCTCCCAAAGTGCTGGGATTACAGGCTTGAGCCACCGCGCCCGGCTTATAGCTATTGGTTTGATGTGTAAGTTTGCATTTCATATTAGAAATGGTCATGGTACTGTGTACAAGAGAATGTAGGTTGGTATGTATAGCTAGACGTAGAGTCCTGCCTTTGATCAAATAACTAGTTTTTAAGGTGCACCTATGTTTTTTTTTATGGTTAGGATTGTAGACTCTTTAAGCAGAGTGGCACAGTTTTAAATATATTTGCATATGTTTGAAAGTAAACCAGGCTGGCCCCGGGTGAAATTGTGAAATATGGTTGGCCCTTGGTGTTTTGGGCCCTCATTCCTCATCTTTGACCTTCCCCTCTCAAAGGCAAGAATCCATAAAGCTGGGCTGGTGTGTTGGAGGAAAAGGAATGGTGGAAGCATCTGCTATGCTTGCTTTGCTACGAAGCCACTGAGGGATGAACAGTTCCAGAAAGTGGTTGAGCTGTGGAGTGTGTGGGATGATGAAGCATACTCAGAGGGGTGCAGGTGAGTATGCTTAAAAACAAAGTAACCCTCAATGGAGATTGAGCTTTAGGGTGGGAACCAGGTTGTACCCTTGGAAAAGGAATCCTTGACCAGGAATGTTGAAAATGATAACAAAAGACCACAAAAAGCAACTAACATCCAACCTCACATTCAATAGAATAAGCTCATTTAACCGTAGGCATCTTTTGTGTTATTTCCAGGGGGACCATTTAAACCACAGGCTTATTTCCATCCTAATCTCAATATCTTGAGCTCAGGATTTTATTATCAGCTGACCCTTCCCTTCCACTCTCCTCTCTTTATCTGACTCCTGGATGTTGAGAATGCCCACTCTGCCCTATCACCTGTCAGCCTTGTCTCTGGCCATCTTCTGCTCTCTCCCTCAGCTCCATCCCTGACTCCAGCCTTTGAGGAGTGATGATGGTGCTCTTCCTTTCTGGCCTGGTCATTCACTGCCTCATGTCCCTGAGTTTCTGCTGTTTCAACTTTTGCAGACCCCAAACCTGGAATTGCCACTTTTTGCATTTTTTTTTTTTTTTTTTTTTTTTAAGATGGGGTTTCACCATGATGGCCAGGCTGGTCTTGAACTCCTGACCTCAGGTGATCCACTCACCTAGGCCTCCCAAAGTGCTAGAATTACAGGCGTGAGCTACTGCGCCTGGCCACTTTTTGCATTTTAAGAACAGCTGGGCTGGTTGCGGTGGTTCACGCCTGAAATCCCAGCACTTTGGGAGGCCAAGGTGGGCGGATCACCTGAGGTTCAAGACCAGCCTGGCCAACATGGTGAAACCCTATCTCTACTAAAAATACAAAAAAATTAGCCAGGCATTGTGGTGGGTGCCTGTAATCCTTGCTACTTGGGAGGCTGACACCGGACAATCACTTGAAATCAGAAGGCAGAGGTTGCAGTGGCCAAGATGGTGCCACTACAGTCAGTCTGGGAAACAGAGCCAGACTCCATCTCCAAAGAAAAATAAAAAGAACAGGTGGATATACTTCTTTACATGCTGCTGGGATTGGGATGGAGGCAAGGGATGGAAAGGAGGAACGTAGATGGATAGTACAGTGGGCAAAGCACAAGAAGTGGCTGTTGGTACAGCAAATGAAATAAATTTCTTTTAATTGTGTGTGTAGAGGACTAAATTATGAAAGATGTGCCGGGTGTGGTGGCTCAAGCCTGTAATCCCAGCACTTTGGGAGGCCGAGGCGGGTGAATCACAAGGTCAAGAGATCGAGACCATCCTGGTCAGCATGGTGAAACCCCGTCTCTACTAAAAAAAATACAAAAAATTAGCTGGGCATGGTGGCATGTGCCTGTAATCCCAGCTACTCAGTAGGCTGAGGCAGGAGAATTGCCCAAACCCAGGAGGTGGGGGTTGCGGTGAGCCGAGATCATGCCATTGCACTCCAGCCTGGGTAACAAGAGTGAAACTCCGTCTCAAAAAAAAAAAAAGATGTGATATTAATCTACATATGTTATTTATAGATACTAAAAGTACAGCAAAGAGAAAAAAAAGAACTTTAGTGTTGTTATTTTTAAACAAATTTAACTCATTGTTTTATTTTTACTTATTCATTCTATTATTATTATACTTTAAGTTCTGAGGTACATGTGCAGAACGTGCAGGTTTGTTACATGGGTATACATGTGCCATGGTGGTTTGCTGCATCCATCACCCTGTCGTCTACATTACATATTTTTCCTAATGCTATCCCTCCCCATCCCCCCGACCCCTGCAAGCCCTTCTCTAGCCTCCCATCCCCCGACAGGCTCCCGTGTGTGATGTTCCCCTCCCTGTTTCCATGTGTTCTCATTGTTCAACACCCACTTATGACTGAGAACCTGTGGTGTTTAGTTTTCTGTTCTTGTGTTAGTTTGCTCAGAATGATGGTTTCCAGTGTTATCCGTATCCCTGCAAAGGACATGAACTCATCTTTTTTTATGGCTGCATAGTATTTCATGGTGTATATGTGCCACATTTTCTTTATCCAGTCTATCATTGATGGGCATTTGGATTGGTTCCAAGTCTTTGCTATTGTGAACAGTACTGCAATAAACATATGTGTGCATGTGTCTTTATAACAGAAAGATTTATAATCCTTTGGGCATATACCTAGTAATGGGATTGCTGGGTCAAATGGAATTTCTGGTTCTAGATCCTTGAAGAATCACCACACTGTCTTCCACAATGGTTGAACTAATTTACACTCCCACCAACAGTGTAAAAGAGTTCCTATTTCTCCACATCCTCTCCAGCATCTGTTGTCTCCAGATTTTTTAATGATTGCCATTCTAACTGGCTTGAGATGGTTATCTCAATGTGGTTTTGATTTGCATTTCTCTAACGACCAGTGGTGATGAGCTTTTTTTTCATAAGTTTGTTGGCTACATAAATGTCTTCTTTTAAAAAATGTCTGTTCATATCCTTCATCCACTTTTTGATTTTTTTTTTCTTGTAAATTTGTTTAAGTTCTTTGTAGATTCTGGATATTAGCCCTTTGTCAGATGGGTAGATTGCAAAAATTTTTTCCCATTCTGTTGGTTACCAGTTCACTCTAATGAT